CCTTCTTGGCTTGTAGTCTGTTTGGAAAGGGCCCTGTATGTCTGAATAGCTGCTTTGCAGTCATCATTCCACCAAGCAGTGGGCCTAGATTGACGGGGCCTCTTGCCTACTGTCCTGATACAGCCTTGGATCATGTTGATCAGGCTTTGTGTAAAGGTGTCCACCTGGCCAGGGGATACACCCAGCCGGGGGAGTTCATGAATCCTGGTTTGGACATTATCTGCCAGCTCCTGTAGTTTATCGTCCGGTACTATCCAATGATTGGCCTTGGGTACTCGGTCCAGATCTCCCTGGATTGGAATGACTATTCGTAATGTCTCATGATCTGAGGTGCACTGAAGTGCATCATTGACTGAGGCTTCAGCCATGGGGACATCAGAGAACACCAGATCTAGTACATTTCCGTCATCATGTGTCGGGACATCTGGTTCAGAAATCAGATCCAGTCCATGGTCTGCCATAATCTGTGCAAGTATAATACCGCCATGATATCCTGGATTGCTCGAGTCCCAAGATGTGTTGTCAGCATTGAAATCTCCAGCTATAATGCAGCCAAAAGGTGGAGTCCATACTTCTAGAATATCATCCACTTCCTGTGGGTTGTCACATGGCCGGTAGACACTGGCAAATGTAATGTCTTGTACCTTGACCCAGGTAATGTCTCGTGTAGCATAGGGCCAAAATTGATCTGTTTAAAGGTGTTTTCTCACATAGATAAGAGATCTGGGCCGTGTACTGTTGCTGTCCTAGGAATCCACTGGGGAGTATATATTGTAATTGGGATGTGTCTTTACTCTCATTTTCCTGCATGGTGGTATGCCAACCCAGGGCTCTTGCATTAGAATGATGTCTGCTTGTTCTCCTTTGTAGTCAGCCAGGTTGATGGCTAACTCTGTAGGGCCTGCACTCCTTTGTCCTCCTGTTGTATTTACAGAATGGATGACTAGATGCCCGTGTTGATGTGTTTTATTTAATGTACTTAGTATTGACTGACGACAATGGTGTCGGCATCCTTGGGATGAGCTGTATCTGTTGTGTCGATTTGCATTGTGGTGTCTTCGTTATTATTGTTAGGTGTTGACCCAGCTTGGTTTCTGCCTGTTTTATTGAAGGCCTGGATCTGGCTCTTTCTCCGGCCAGCCTTATTTCCTGGATTTGCTCCCATGTGTGCTTGTGGATGATGCCTTTCACAACCTTGGGGCGTGCAAGGCATTTGTCGAAGTTGGCAGTATGAGGTCCTTTGTAGTTGACACACTTTGGGATTGGTTTTTTGCACTCCCCCTGGTATACTGTACTGGCGTAACGTACATATATTTGCTTTTCACATTGGTAGTTCCTACCATGTTATCTGAAGCAGCTCGCACACTGGTGAACCTTGGGGGAGTATTGAATATGCCTTGAGGTCATTGAGTGAGTAAAAAGCGTGAATGGTTTCTTTGCTGCACGGGGCAGAGAGATCACCCATGTGGTCTCCGGATCAGAATCAACTGTGTTCCTTGAGAGTATGCACCTTCAAGGTCTGCCATCTGTTTGGGCTTCAACTTTCTCAGCAACAGCAATGTCGGTAATGTCGATTATCAATCCTTCCGCACTGATGACCTTTCTTGGGCATCCATTGATCTTGTAGTGATGCCAGACTGTATGGGTCTCAATCTTTTCTGCCTTGAGAATATCGGTGATTTCTTCTTAGAAGGCTAGGAGCTTAGCCTGAGTTGGCTTGTCCCTTGGGTGTAAGGTAAATCTGGAGGGGCACTGCATTACCTTTCTAAGCTCTTAGGGATGGAGCTTAAGTCTTTTGTTCAGTGTAGACTTTATTCCATAAGGCTCTAAGTGGCTATTGTCTATGCGGACAAAGACCTGGAGATTATTCTGCTTCTTCTTTAGTTGATTGGCAGTTAATAAGGACACCAAGCTGTGTTTTCTTCATGGTGGTGTTGACTGTCGGTGGATGCTGTCGGTGGTTAAAAGAGACAGCTTGTGCGAAAGTCATGCTGGGCTTCCCCATCACCATCCCCCCGAAAGTGGCCTTTCTTATAGTTGAATCTCGGGTTTCCAGCCACTTGCTCAGGCATCTAGAGAAAAAGGCGCTGAACTCCTTGGCATGTGAATATAATTTGGTTCCGACTTTCTTAACTGTCTTGTCAACTGTTGCAGCACACTTTTGAAATATTGTTATCTTGGCTTTGTAAAGGTGCCTGTCTTTATCCAGTATCCTTGCAACTCGGTCCTGGCACTTTGAGGAGGAGGCTTTACTCCCTGTATTGCGTTTAATGGCTTGGTCTGTAGAGATTTTGTTTAATTGAGGTTGTTTCATTCCAGTGGTGCTGCCGTCATTAATATTTTGGGATTTTCTTTTCAGAGGGGAAATAACGATGAAATCAGCCTCAGAGACCTGTGACGGGCTGCTGCTGATGTCGTCAAGCAGCGCCTGGCGGAGCCTGCTTGGAGTTGCCGGGCCGTATGTCTTTCTAGGGGCCGGGGATTTGAGCATGCCGCCGGTGGTCGTCTTTGGGACAGCCACGGGCGTGTTTGGGGGCCCGTCTTGGAAGGGTGCCATCCGGCTTGTAAGAAAAATTCACTTGTGCCTTGGCAAAGATAGTCAGTTACTGAAAGAAGTGCCTGCTTTGTGCCTTTTGGTAGCTTTCCCAGATGCTGATAAATCACAAGTCTTGTTGTAATCTATCAGTGGTCTGGGTGGTGCTTGATTAAAAGGTCGGATGGAAAGGATTCCATCCGAGATGTATCTAAATACCTAAATTACAGTGGTGAGGTACCTGGGGCAACAAAGGGTTGCCAGGCAGCCTTCATCAGGTAACCTCCAACATATCTGGTGGGGTTCCAGAATACTCCATATAGGTCCATGCACTGGATCCACAGCTTTAGCGCAGATATCGAGGTTGCGCCCTAACAGCGGGGCGCCAAGAAAAATAGTTGTTTTTGGCAAGTGTGTTGTTCGTAAAGGATTGGTTGCCAGGGCCCTCCACTACTTGGCGAAGCTTCAGAACCTGTCTTCCTCGACGCAATCGAGAGCAACGGAGAGGCAAATGGTTTACGTGTGTATACTTATCGCCATGTTTCACTACATGGGGCCTTGGGACGCCATGCTCAAGATCGTCTTCCCGCGACTGTGTCGCCCAGAGGTCAACGACGACAGCCTCAGCTCAACGTCGAACGCATAAATCATGTCACCAGACAGGAAGTAGTGCAGCTGCTGGAATAGCAGGCCGTCAACAAGGATGAATACCAATAATTCCGCAAACAGCACCACAGCACCACAGCAGTGAATTCTTTGGTAGGTTTGAAGTGGCAACTCCGCCGTCTTCCACCACCAGCTCCGACCTCCACGCGCTCATTACAACCCAGCTCATCCGAAGAGCGCCAGTCTCCCCATCATCATCAGCGAACCACATTACGATTTCCAGCTCGGCGATTTGCAGTCCCAACGCACTCGGTACGACATCTCTACGCTATAGGCTAGACGGCACGCTTCTCACTCGGATCGCATTCGGAACGCATTCGATGCGTTCCGAGCGCATAGGTAGATATAACAGGCTTTGACATATGAAGGGTTCGCCCCAATAGGCGCACCAAAACCAATGCCACGAATCTCCCGGCTTCTGTCTTAGTTCTCTCGTTTCTTCTTTCCTTCCCTTCCTCTTTGCCACCAGCCCAGATGGAGTGTCCTCTGCGACACCTTCTCACTTCACTCTGGTGGGTACAGCAAGATGACGACGACCTGTCCTTGCACACCGAGCATAAGGACCACTTGGCTGGAGTCCTGCTTCCCCTCATGTCGTACTGGAGACGTGCCAGTAAGGATTCCCCGCGCGGTGAGCACAAGTGCCCGGATTGTTCGTGAAGGAGCTTGTGTACAAGGATCCTTGATCACCATCGCGGCCACTTTCGCTTGCAGTATGCTTACTTACGATACCGTTTTAGGAACGAACGAGCTTGCGAGTTGCAGACCTCGTCCAAAACCTCGACTCGTCCGTGAATTCAGGAAGTTCAGGCAGGATGAGGATTGGAAGAAACGCTCCTTGAATGATGCGATACGCGACGCTCTTTGGGATGCATCTAAATCTGATAAATAACCGCAAAGCACAATCAGATATCTCGATTCAGAAGTAACGAACCTCATGGAACATTCCAACACTCGGGATGGATGTGACAAGATGTTCATGCGTAACTACATCCGCTCTGCCAGGCGAGACCTCACACGCATTCAGAGAAAGAGCGTAAAATCCTCGAAAACTGCTAGGGCGGCACTATAAGCAAATGGATACATCAAGGGCGGAAAGGTAGCGCAGCGTCCTATCGACATGTCCCGCGGACAGAACCAGTCAACCCTTGCATACCTGTACGGAAATGAGAACGATCAGCCATGCGAGAGCTGTGCTGCCAAGAAAGGTACATACTTCACATTATCATACACACTCTTACTCGTCAGTGCCGTATCGCCGAGGCCAGGCTACGTCAGTGTATCGTGCCCACGAGTACACGCGTGGACAACACAGCCGTCTCAACCGCTCATTCCTACCTAGGTACCCAGTCTCCAGACCGCTACATTCTCCCTAGACAAGTAGTAGCCCAGGCCAAGTGGAAGATGACAGCGTTTATTGTCCATCCGCAACAACACAAGCCACAACGTCACTCAGAACAACGCCGCTCTCCTATCGCAGGCACCATACTCCAACACTACCTTCTCACATCGACCACGGAACTTCGAAAGCCTTCACCCATACCATATACTGCGTACGATGCCGCCTACAGCAGCCTATGCTTACGAAATCGTGTAACCGATCCCGGAAGAAGACCGTACATTTCCGCCCTCTCCAACAACCGTTACCGCTTTGTATTGATCCTCCCATCGCAGCGATGCTTAGCCAGGGTCCCCCCTGTCATCTTAGGTTGTCCGACGTCAGGATACGAGAATTTTCCCAGCGGCTGGAAGCCAGATTCGAGGGCCTGCACCAAAAGAGTTGTAGCACGTCACCGACGGCATGCAGAAACGAACGAGCTTGCGAGTTGCAGACCTCGCACGACTCCGGGCCCTCGCCAACGCCGCCAAGGGCTTGCCCATTTGGGCGCAATTCGTGCTGTTGTTCGCCACGGCCACGGTCACGCCGCTGCTGCTCCTGTTCGGACAGTGGGTGGCATCGCGGCTGCCCTTATCTTGGCTGGTGGTGCCTGTGCTGCCGTCTCCGGCGGTGTCGTTGGTGGCGCTGCTGCCGGCGGTGGGCGTTGACAAGACCTCGGCCGTATACGAGCAGAAGGGGCAGAGAAGGACATGAAGCGTTTAGCGACGGGGAGGTAGACGGTCTAAGCGATGCGAATCTGGACTGAAGAACACTCGACAAGCTAGAGCGGCAGGAGAAGAACATGTCCCCACCTCGCTGCAGATGTTCCCAATGTACAGCTAACAAACACTTGACCAAATGACCACTGACTGTTGTTAGCACTTTGATGCTCAAACACCATGTCCTTCGGAGATCTCTACCTCCTCGGGTTGGTGGCACTGGCACCCCCAGGCCTGGCCGTCGACCCCTCGAGTCTCGACTTCGACGCGTTGAAGCACCAGCGGATGGATGCTAGCAACCCTAGGACAGGTGGTGAACATTAATAGGTAAACTAGAGGCGATTCGCCGTCATATTTCGGACAGAGTCATCCAGCAACGCAGACCACCGGACGACCACCAGCTGGTACATCGGTTGAAGGCCATCTAACTTACACCAAGGCGTCGGACCACCAGCAGAAGCCCGTGCGTGACTCTGCTAGCATGGGATACTACCATGGAGTTCATCAAGCTCTACGATTAACTATGGCCTTTGGGCTTTTTCCCTCCCGTTGCTCCGGGGAGGCCATGGGGGCCTGAGGGCTGGTAAAGCCAGCAGCAGTGGTGAGAGCCAGGGGGCTACGGCGGGTGATAGACTTTGGACGCTGGCACGAAGCCCGCGGGTGTTGTAAGTGACTTGGATCCTTTCATGTAGTCACTGCATGAACTGTTAATTGGCCGAACGTGTTCGCGATCTCGACACGAATATAGGTAGGGTACGGAACCGTACAAAAGGAAAGGAGGAAAATATAGCACGTCTAGTACCAGCAGCAACTCATGTATTATTATTACAACATAGAACGATACACATCAGACCGCGTGAAACGTGAAAGTTGAAGCAAGCACACCTTTTGAAAGCCGTCTTGACTAACTCCATGCTATGATCCCACCCTCTGAAACCCCTGATTTGACTTCATTGACCCCCCTTCCCATGAACTCATAGTGCCACGTCCTGGAAAGACGCCCCGTCGCCTGGGGACGGGGCAACCGCCTTCTCGTCTGTGCTCTCGTTGTCGTCGTTGTCGTCTCCCAGACCCTGCCCCGGAGAAGTTGAGGACTGACCTGGCCGCAAGGCTATCTTCTGCTCCTCCTTGTCCTCACGCCGCATCTTCTGTTCGTCGGTGGCCTTGGCTTTCTCGCCTTCGCCACCCTCGTCCTCATCATCGTCTGACTCGCTACTGCTCTCCTCGGCCGCCTGCTTCTTCTCCCCAGCTTCTTTGCTTTCCCCATTGGAAGCTGCCGCCGCCGCCGGTGTCTCCGGCAAGTCCTTCTGTGCTTGTGCCGGTGCCGGAGCCGGCGAAGCCGTATTCCTCGTCTGCGCCTCGTCGGGGCCCGGCCGCACGGCGTCGAGGTAGAACTTGGTAACGCCAAGAATGCGGCCGTTCTTCTCGCAGGCCTCGACCCACTCGGGGCGGACGACGGGGATGTTCATCTCGACGGCCTTCTCCCAGGGCACGCCGCGGCCCTCGGTGGTGACGAAGTGGGTGGTGTCGATGCGGACGCCGTCGACCATCTTGGCGCCGATGCGCTCGACGGCCTGGGCGAGGCCATCGCGCTGCGCTGCCGGCAGGATGCCCGTCGTGATGGTGATGCCGCTGAGGTCGGTCATCTTGTGGGTGCGCGCCACGACCTGCTTGCTGGCGTAGGTGCCGGCCGTCGTGCGCAGCACCAGGTGGAACGTGTACTCGGTGTCGACGGCCAGGCCGCTGATCTTGGTGCTGTGCATCTGCAGCGGGCGGGGGATGTTGCCCGCCTTCTGCCCGTTGCGGAACAGCGACAGCGAGATCAGGTCGGCCGTCGCGAGCTCGATGGGGTCCCACTCCAGCACGAGGGAGGTCTGGGTGGCATTGCGGCAGCGGAGGATGGGGGTGCTCGGCTCGGAGGCGCCGAACGACGAGAAGATCTGGTCTTGGAGGGCGGAGAAGCGCGAGTCGGCCTTGTTCTCGGATTCGTGGTTGCGGGCTACGGTGATGTCGACGATGGAGCCTGAGACGATGTTTGGCGGCAGGAGGATGGAGGGGAACTCGATCTAGGGGTATCTGTTAGCTTTGCGTGTCCTTAGGAGCATCGATAAGTTCTCTCGAGCTTGTGCGACAGTTTGCGACAACTGGACACTGTTCTGAGGACTCGAAGGCTCTCCCAGGGGCAGGCAGTCGATACGTACCAGGCGCTTGTCTGGGGTCAAGAGGACAGTCACGCCGGCATCGACTTTGCCGACGGTGAGAGAGACCAACATATCGAGAGAGTCAGGCGGCGGCTGTGGTGGAATTGGTGTCAGATGGTGTATGGGGTGGTTGTGTCGTCGACAACTGTGGTAAGGTATGGTGTTGTTTCGTGTCCGGCCCAGTCAATTGGAGAGCTCCAGCTGGCCCCTGCCTCATCAATGTTCCTCTGCAGTAGCGCCATGTAGAAGCGCCAAACCCCAAACCCGCTTCCAGATGCAGCCCCGGCCATTTCCGATGCAGATCTAATTCGCAATTGGGGAAAGGGTTAATGTTTGCAAGCTGGGATTGTATTCGATTAGAACTAAATATTATTTCCCCTTTCCAGGCTTCCCACCAGCAGGCAGGCATCGTGGCAGTTGTGCCCTGCCCATTCTAGAGCCGAGAGGGCTACAATGGCATCTACAGAGCCGCAATATGTATGTACAGGTCGGTATACAGGCAGTTGATACGAGTTGTTTACGAGCTTGAGCAGATCATGCGGAGCTGGCGACTCCAGTCTCTCTACCTTCTGCGGGCTGGCGCTGGTCGTCCTTTGCCCCCAGCCGCGTGGTGTCGGTACTCAACTCGCTTCAGGTGTTTGCCATTCTGATCTCGTCGAAGCTCCAGCTCCACTGGCAATATGATATCCTTGGCGACGTCCAAGAGGTCCACGAACCTGGCGTTGCATACAGCCTTCGCGTCGCTGCACACAACTTTGAGTGTCCCGTGCAAGTCGCCCACAGCACCCGGGTCGTCGTCGTTCGTGCTTCTCCTGCCGTCTCGACCGTATCCAGCCTCAGCCAGTGCATCCCGCATAGCATGCTTCAGCTTCCTTTCCGCAACAGCGCTGGGGAACACGCCTGCACCGGTGTTAGGCAAGCAGAAGGCGCTGTACCATAACGGCCGGCTTTTCTTCGCAATGTATAGTTCCAGGATGGACTGGGCGTAAGGATGCTCCTGGCGATCGAGGTACTTCATCGCCTGGATATCGAGACAGTGGCTCTGGGAGCAGAAGACGTTCAGCTTGTATGGGTTGTTTCCCTTCAGATTGCCGATTTTGAAGCCACGCAGTTTGTCCGGGAACCACATATTGTGCTCGCGCAAGACGGAGAAGACATGTTGACTGGGTTCTACTTCGTCGGCGTATGGGTTTTCGCTAGGGAGAGCAGGACGTAATTTGGTGTGTGTCGCTTCAGTGGTGGCGCGTCTTCGAAGGACTTGGGCTTGATACGCAAGCCTTGGGAGCTCCAGGGGCCGGCCGAGGAGAGCTCTTGTCATGATCTAGGCCGGTCCCCGAGTTGACTCAGCTGCCGGCAGCTCATGGCCCTGATACCGGTAGTCGACAAGTCGAAGGAAGGTGGTAGAGGCGCAACGAAGGACAATCGGAGACGAGTTTGGGGTTGCGACGGCGTTGAATGGGCGCATGAAGAAGATGCGCAAGGAAAATGAAAACGCTGACTGGATCGGGTGGATGCAAGCCACAGTGCTGCAGCTGCTTGGAATAGCCCATCTGGGCATGATTGGCCCCACCCAACCCGCCTGAAGCGCCCCTGGGCCCTGGTTGGGCTGAGGGTATCTCCGAAAAGCGACCCCACTATATTACTCACTCACTTTCGCCTCTTTGTGCACAGTCGCTAGCCTCTGCCCCTCCAATAACCATTTATTAATCCCCGCCATTCGTCACCACCACACACCATTCCAACATTTTCCCACTTCGACCACCCACACCATACTCAACGAACTTCACCCCCGAAACACCAACACAACAACTCATATCGCTCGGCTTTATTCTGCGACTGCAGAATATTAAGCCCACGTTTCCGCCAATATGCCCAAGAACAAGGGAAAGGTACGTCGACAGCCTTGGGCGCTTATCCTGCCCCGCAGTGTGCGTGTGCGAGTGCGAGCAGCAGCTGACACAGGTCAAAATAGGGTGGTAAGAATCGACGTCGTGGAAAGAACGAGAACGACCGAGAGAAGCGCGAGCTCATCTTCAAGGAGGAGGGACAGGAGTACGCCCAGGTCATCAAGATGCTAGGAAACGGACGGCTCGAAGCCCAGTGTTTCGACGGCGAGAAGCGACTCGCCCACATCAGAGGCAAGCTGCGAAAGAAGGTCTGGATCAACCAGTATGCCAACGCCCCGAGGCCCCACAACTGCGTGCTTTTGGTCACTGACAAGCCATTACAGGGGAGACATTATACTGTTGTCGCTGCGAGACTACCAGGATGAAAAGGGCGATGTCATCATGAAGTACTCGGCCGACGAAGCGCGATCCCTCAAGGCCTACGGAGAACTCCCCGAGTCCGCCAAGATCAACGAGACCGACACGTTCGGTCCCAACGACGACGGCGAGTGCAACTTCGACTTCGCCGACGACCAAGAATCCGACGATGAGGACGGCAAGGACATCGAGATCGATGACATCTAAGACCCGTTCACCTATCAAACCCCAGCTCTGCCGAATTGTCTCTCTGTCCTCTGGGTCTTGTGCCGATGATGAGGGGACCAAGTATATAGGAGACGGGGGCCGTTGTCCATCTGGGTTTTCTGGTCTCCGTGACCAGATTACCTGGAATCAGTCTGTCTTCTCTCTCCACCCCAGGCAGCAGTTGTATTCCTACGGATCTCTGTCATCTGGGATCCGCGACAGCAACCGGACAGCGTGGGGAAGCCATGGTGGGAGAGACGTCATGGCTTATTCTTTTCGTCGCTTTTGCCTTTTTCGTAATGGATACGCATGTGCCACTTTGTCCGTACGAAGAACCTCCTCTTGGGAATGACGGCATGGGATTCATAAGCGATAGACCACTTCGTTAATACATTCACCCTTTCCCAGCCTACAAGTCGTCTGACAGATACTTCATGTCCCATCCCTTCAGTGCCCGTTTCGGCACCAATGGACCCTACAGGGTCTATGCACCCAATCACTGTGCTGGAACTGGGGTATTAATGGGTACGGATTTACCTGGTGCCGAAACGGGCACTGAAGGGATATCTCTGCAAAGTGTGACTAGTGCCCGTAAAGGAAACGACAGTACTGCAAGACGGCTAACCTAGCTGTATCCATGGCCCCTTTTGGACGTGTACCAAGATGAACCCAGTTTCGATCAACATCTCGATACCCCAGTAGTCACTGTCCAGCATTATCTAAGTGTATAATCTCTGCAAGCCTCGCCGACTAGAGCAAAATCTCCGCCCACCTAACAAGCAAAACAAGCCACAGACTTGCACGTACTGCTTGCTACCTGTTAGGTCATACCCCCAAGAGAGACAAACACTCGCAATATGTTCTCTCCATAAAAGGGGGGCGAGATATCGGTCCCAACACCGCGATTACGTCCAGGACCCTGATAGTGCGAGTGATTACCGAGTACACGACCAAGGGGGGCCGCTATTTCCGCCTTGGTACTCAGGTTAAAAGCGTAAAGAGTGACGACAACTGCACAGGTACCTCATACTGAAGGTACGCAGTTCGCAGAGTTTCCTGCCAACGGGGTTCCCCTCCCTAAACCCGGAACCTAAAACAAAGGCTTCATCTACAGATATCTTAGATCTTCCCCCCGACACGGGCTTCCCATTCCCTCGATTCATTACTTGTCACCTTGCTGTGCCCACTCAAATCGGTCCCAGCATTCTACATTCTGCTCCTAACTGATTTGCAAGCCATCTCAGACGGACTATTCTTCACCATGAACTTTGAAACCGACCGAGATTTTTGTTCCACGACAACAGGAACGCCGTTGCCAACCCCGATGACAACCCCGACACAGTCAGTAACGGATGGGACCCCAAGCCACGCTGCCTTTCCCCCTGTTATTACGGTACCCTGTGCAGGGTGGACATTCCTGATCCGCCACCAAGTCTCCGGGCTGGTCATTACTCTGAGGGAGGGTATACTGACCCTGGAGCACGAAACCCGCAGCAAGGGCTGGGGAGGCTGCCACTGGGCCTGCGTCGAGAACGACGGCTGGTTCGGCTTCCGAAACATCGTGTCGGGGACATATATCGGGCACAACGGCAAGGGCGAGTTCATCGCTGATGCCAAACACCACGGGGGCCACGAGTTCTTCGTGACGAAACCGCATCCTGAAGGCGGGTACTGGCTGTTGACCTTACACAACTGGAAGTGCATGAATATGGCCATAATGGCTGAGCAGACCCCGTCGAAGCTCGTCGTGTCTGCGGATAGGGGCGCGGCATGGGAGTTCCTCAGTGTTGAGACCAGTGTCGCTCAGGACTAGGTGCGGGACCTCGCTGGTTCTCTATGATATCTTGCTGATGACGGACATAGGTACGGAAGTGATGACTGGAACGGGACATAAGTATCAGGAAAGCCACAGAATAGCCCAGAGTGAGATGTGTGATCAAAGGTGGTAACCTGATACGAGAGTGGCGGAGGAGGCCTAAAAGGGAACTCGGAGGCCGGACTAATGAGTACGGTACTCGTCTGTGTGTGATGGCCACCTTCAGAGCAATGGGTCGGGGGGACGTCCTGGTTGCTTACAGTAGTCTGGAGTCGATATCAGACCCAGACGAGTAGGTAGTCTAGGCTTCATCAGCCGCCACTTGGCTGTGTAGGTCTTCAGACAAGCACGGTACTCAAGGCACTCACTAAGGGCGACGCGACCTGTTTAGACTATAATGGTACATATCCGAAGTTATTCTTGACCAACTGATCACAAGTCAATGTACATACATACGGCTAGTAACGAAGCTTCCATGCCAGCCAACGTAATGCTCTTCTCGATAGGCACGGTACTCAGACGGTACCCTGGTCTATATATACAGTTCCAGACAAAAGCGCCTTCCTTGCTCAAGAAATTACCGTGCCACAGCTCATCTCCACCGTGATCTCGCGTCGTATATCCCCAAACATGACGCCGAGGCATCATGGACGACGACCGAACCACCGCACCGCCGTCTCCATCGGGGCTCCCCCCCTTTCACACGCCCACAGGCGGCATCCACGACGTCCCGTCCCATCTCGGCCTCCAGCACCGGGACTGCCACTGCCACTCCCTCCCTCTTCGTCATCATCAACATCACCATCAACCGACCTCCATACCCTCACCCTCACCCTCACCCTCACCCTCACCCTCACCCTCCGCCGACATCCTCTGCCCATGACCAGGTTGTCGCCGCAGTAGATGCTGTACGGTACTGGAGCGGTGAAGTCTTGCCGAATGTCGTACCTAAAACCCAGGCCTCAGGAGTAATCTCACTAACCCCCTCCCCCTTTTCTGGCCATCAAGCATGGTCTTATTCCCTAATAAATTCCCATCCAGTCACGTTTTCAGGGGCTCTCCGCTCCCAAGCCATGCCCCTTCAGATGCCCCCTCCCTTCTTCTTTCTTCACTGGCTTAGGTACCTTCCCGCTGGAGGCTTTACAAAGAGCACTGAGTAGCTAGGTACCGACAGACTGACCGACCGATACCTCTGTTCCACAGACGAGCTGGCGCTGTGCGGCTCGATGAAACTAAATACCTAAACTGCCTTCAGGCTAAGACCATCATCACCAGCGCCGTATAGGTACACGGAGGCGGGGGGGGGGGGGGGGGGGGGGGGGGGGGGATATTGTCCGAGACGAAGGGGGTAACGCTGGCATATCCGGTCGGTGCCAGAGACGTGAGGAGGAGGAAAGGGAGGGAGAGAGGATCTCGGGTTTGGTTTGCTGGAGAGGCTGGCTGCGAGAGCGAAGGTTGATGCGGATGGAGTTAAGGGGGAATGTTGAGGCGGCCGCTGCAATAGCCTATGTAATTGTCCGTATACGCCCTGGAGGTGTATACTTCCACGGGAATGTTCGTACCTCGAAATGAAGTCCATTCTCATTGTCTTGTACCATGATAGTGGCATCAATCAACACATGAGCGAACTGGGTAGAATCCGGCAACCCAAGCGAGGACATCACGACTTCACGGCAGCAGCAAGTTAAGACCATTGGAGATGACCACCAGGAACGACGAAGTCAATTTAAGTAAGCAATCATCTATTGGCTCTCGCGGCCTCCCGCAGACCTTCCAGTTCCTGCCTCCAGGTCGTTGCCCAAAGGTCAAATCGGAAACACCTTGAACAATCCGGTCCACGACAAGCCGATATAACGGCACCAACAGGTCCAGCCATAAGTCGCGAATGGAGACGAGCCCCCACCGCCCCCTGGACCTAACTGCAATATATACCTCGCCCGCCTTGAACCCCCCGCTTACTGGAGAAGCAAAAGGACAGGCGAGGGGGATAGAACAAAGTGAAAGGCTAGATTCAGTAATCCAAAAGTAGTATCCTCCATTTCCTAAACCTGTGGGGGCGCGTGTAGAAAGCCGCTCCAATTCGTAAAGCTTGTGACAATCTGATTTCCTCCTCAAGCGATTCCGTCCCCGATGGGTTTGGTGTTTTGTAAGTGTTTTTTGACGGGTCGGGCACGGTGCTGCCTGACCCTGCTCTATGGAGGCACATCGCCTAGAAGCGATGGCGTCGTTGCGTTATAGAGCTGATGTGGTGGTTTTTGGTCGCTCGGATCAAAGGTGGTAATTGAGAATGGCTTGATCGAGTTGTAGTTGCGCCAGATCTGTTGGCGTAGAGAGGGGTTGCCTATCAGATGTTCGTTGTTGCCCAAGACAACCTAGAAGTCGTCGCGGCAGCTGGCGTCGCTGGCGACAGCCGTGAAAGCTGTCGTGCGAAAAGTGAGAAACCCTCGCCTCTCAGTCGCAGGTGCTTTCAAGCAAAGAAACGACAAAACATCTCTGAGAGAACGAAAATCGATCGAAGTGGGGAGCGGCGGAGCAGTCGTCGCGGTGCGGTCAAGGATCGGGGATGGTTCAACGGATACGCAGATCAGGAGCGCAGAGGCGCATCGACAGAAGAGGATCACGTTGAGACGCTTTCCCCGTGTTATGACCAAGCATGTCTCGCGAGTCGTGTCGTCGCGCCGGCACACACACACGGCCTTCGAGATTATATCGACTCGATCTGAGGAGTCGGGACGCGAAAGCAAGGCGCATGCAGTCGAGAGGGGGACGAGGGGTGCACCAGGGGTAACGGGAGCGTCATTCGAGATCATATGGTACGACCAAGGCGATGTTCGAGATCTGTCGACCAACGAGCGATGTTCCTCAAGATCGGAAACAGGAGAGGGGCATCGTCCGAGGTCGGGCGATCGACCGAAGCAAGCCTCGAGACCAAGTGTTCATCAGAAAGCGCATCGCGCAATCACGACGGTGACGGCCGGAGCAGGACGAGACGGACTCACGGAGAGCCGTACAATCGGAACGCATCACGACAGACCGGTGACCGCGGCCGAACGGGTGCTTGCCTGGCGGTCATGGGAGGAGAACTAGGTCCTCGACTCTCCATCCCATCAAGTGGAAACTATTCGTACTGCCACGATGGGAGCCAACCGCGTGCCCGGCCTCTCGTTTCGGCGGGGGGTGCGGCGAACTGCCTGCGGCAAGCATGTGGGAAGAGAGAAAAACAAAACAATAGAAATGTTGGATGGGTCCGGGTGCTTATATCACGGGGTATTGTGGCGTAACTTCACGAGGTACGTCAGAACAGGGTCCAAAGCAAGGAAAAGCGAGCCTCGAGGCCGGCTGGTCTCGAACACATCGAAACTCCTCATTGGCACGGACTTGCGGTGTGGCTGGCCATTGCATCCTGACCCGATTTTGAGGCTGGGTAAACCTTGTTTCATCGTCAACCAGCCACGGACGGCATGATACCTAGGCTAGCACTGCATTTCGATCATCCATATTTTCCCCCCGCGACATGCAACAGATGGTCGAACATGAGAGGGATCCAACCCGATGACGACGTTCGCCGCTCCTTGTAGTAATCGACAAGGTTATCGACCAAGATCCGCTGGATACAGCGGCATCACAAGAGCATTGCATTGCAGATAGACTGGAGATTGGAGGAGTGAGGTAGGATGCCCCCATGTGCCCCAGCAGCTGCCAGCAGGAATAGAGAAGTCCCACCTGTCAAACATGAAGGCAGACGCCCAGCTTCAATTAGCCGTATCTCCCCACCATACGTCATACCGATGAGCCCTTGCAATGGAGCTGGATGGGGCATTGGAGTCTGGAGTCTGGACTCTGGAGTCGGAGGAGGTCCGAGAAAATCCAGTCGGCCAGAAAACAGGTTTTGGCAGATCAACGGGCCTCGAACCTCTCTACCCCATCCCTACGCCGTCAAGCCACATCATAGACGTGAAACCGTTGCAGGCTGTGGCTGGTCATTTACCACTTTGGGACATCAATGGACGACATGATACGAACGCCACATGCTGCCCCTCGTCGATTGGATGACTTGCACAGGGTAGCACAGATAATACATGTGCTCAGCCACCTGACAATCTCTAGCACGAACGGCGGTTGACCAACCGGACCATCGAGACCGGCATTCCAGAGCACAACTCCGCCAAATCCGGTATCCCAGCCATGGCTGTCAATGTCACTGGTGCCGGGGGGCGTTGACCACGAGCCACACCAGCTCTGAGAGCGGTCTAGCGTGTGACGGGATCGCGATGACGGTGTGTGATGTGGCGGGGACGCATCCCTGTCATCTGGACCATGACGTCGTTGTTGCTCCTCGTTTGGGTCTGGTTTTCGAGTCGGACTCCAGGCCAAGCGAAGTGACAGGTTATGGCGCGTCACCAGCGGATGGGGTTTGCCGTGGCGGACATGCAAGGCCTTGCATCAGATGTCTGCACTTGGACTGGCTTCGGTGATTAGCAAGTAGGCGGCTGGGCGGTCTACCCGCGGGTAAAGTGCATGTGTAGGTTGCCTTGATGTACCTCTGGCAGCATTCCCGGAGATGGGCACAGGTGAATTCGGGATCTGATACCTCGACAGGAGGAGGAGAGGGAAGAACTGGAGATAGGATGACATGGAGGAAGGAGGCGGGCCCGGCTAGGATCAGGGTGTATGCACTTATTTCGTCCCGTGGTTGACATGCCCCAGTCTAAATGCTAGTTTTGCGACAGGCTTGAAGCTACGCCCTACGTAATCGCGGAAGGGGAGATTGTGCAATGCCACTTGAACCGAACATCGTGGTTTGTTCCATCCATCTCGTATCTGCGGCGCTGGCTGGGTGCAGTGCATTGCAGTGCAGGTGCTGTGGGCTCTGGGCTGGTAGGGTAGGTGCTTTTTCCGTGATTGCTTTTTCTGCGCTGGTTCCCTGCCTGCCTGTGTGACTGGCCTTATATAAAGGTGCACTCCCCTCTTCTGCTAGTCGTGACCCGAACCTAATCCCACACAACAACAACCTACATCACCACCTCTCGCACTACGCACCTTGCATACTTGACTCGTGTCAACAACTCTACCAACCTACACCACCTAAACAAACCATCTCCATACTCCCCACAACCACCACTAGACAACCGCCAAAATGGGTGCCGTCGTCTCTTGCGTAAGTGTACACTGCCAGCTCTACCTACCTCGGTGGCTAGCCACATAGCTTGTAACAGGATTGCTTGCTAACCGTGTTCCGCCCGTCGAACAGATCCAGAGCATGTTCCGCACCATCGGTTCGGTGCTAATGGCCATCGTCAACGGCATCGGCTCGATCCTGACGGCCATCATCAACGGCATCGTCGCCTTCTTCGACATCCTCATCACCTTCCTGACCTGCGGCTACTGCGGCAAGAAGCGCCGCGCCGGCCGCTCCCACGGCGCCACCACGAGTCGGGTCTAGGAGCAGTCACACCTTGCTTCGATACACCATGGGAATGAAGGGCAGCAGAGAGGATGAATGAGAGCGAACAGAGAGCGGACAGTGATTGAGATACCACGGAAACGGGCGGTTGTTGGACTGGCGGCGGCTCACGAACGATAATTTCACGATACCCTTTCCTTTTTTTCACACACGACACGGAGGATGATTGGTATACGCGCTATGGTTGCGACGACTTGAGTTTTCTGCATCTAGCATAATACCAATTTTCACTCGCACCAAACTTCACTGCCTTTTTTGGCCTCGCCCGTGATGTGACATGTCACGTATCAATGCCACCTGCAGTATTGTTCTTCGTCTGGAAAACTCTTCATCTGTTTTGGCATGACGTCACTGTCTCTACACAGACGGATATCACGATGCTGACTCTGACTAGCCTAAAGACAGCCGAGATCTAGAAGAATAGGCCAGACCACAACGGGAAGCCATGCACTCACTTTCAGATCCAAACACCATACTTGGGATAGCAACATAAGGTTCTGGGGATCAATGCACCGGCGGCAGCGAAGATAGGGTCGCTTCGACCAGCGGCTTCATCCGAAGATGCACGTACATCAGCAGGATCTCTACACACCAGCAGCGAGCCTTCCTTGGCCGAGTCCACGCAATGCAACTTCAAAACCCAATTCCTATCTAGACACCTATATCCCCCAAACACCCATCCCATCACATCATCAATCATCAACATCAATAAGATTCCGATTAAAGAACCCATGCACCAGCCTCCCCGCCTCCCTCCCAATCAGCTTGTCCAGCTCATCAACCGTCATATTCGCCACCTCGCGCACGTTCTCCGCCTTCAGGGTCAGGTTCTTGATGTTCTTGGGCGTGACGCCCGGCACCACGCCCAGCATCTCGTGGGGCTCCAGGTTGAACGCCTGGTCCCCGGCGCTTGCGTCTTTTTCCAAACCCGCGCGCACCGCCGCGATCGGGTCCGGCTCCTCCTGCTGCGTCTTCAGCCCCTCGAAGATCTCGGCCGTCTGGTAGGGGCTGCTGCTCCAGACGACGCGCAGGCGCGGGAACGCGAGCGTCAGCAGTACGATCTTGGACTGCAGGTCCGAGGGCGCCTCGCCCGTGGGGTTGACGGACCGCAGGCTGCCCGAGAGGTCGGCAAACGGCTCGAGGGTGAAGGACTTGTTCTGGTCGAACTCGATGAGCAGCATGGGCGACTTGTAGTGCTGGGACATGGTCTCGGCCTGGTTGAAGAGCCGGCCGTCCTTGAACGAGCTGATCAGGTCGCTGATAGACTTGCGCTCGATGCAGATGTTTGGCGACAGGATGTAGTCGCCCACCGTCAGCATGCACGGTATCACGTCTAGGTTCCGCCCGTGCAGTAAGGAGGGTAGCGAGGAGCGGAACTCGCGGACGTCGACCACAACGCGAGGTTGTTCGGCTGTAGCGGCTAGTCGCCCACCACCGGCTATGCGCGTGTTGACGGTGCGTAGGAAGGCCTCTTGGGGATCCTCGATGCCGTGCGCGTCGACGGTCATGACGACCGACATGCTGGCGCGCTCCTTGATGAGCTTGGTGAAGCAGTCCTTCTCCCGCCGGACCGATGCGAGATATCGCTGTTCCTCGACCGATCCACCGTAGAACATGAAGTACACGCGGACATTGCGGTCGTTATGCGAGGATCGATAGACCTCAACGCGGCGGATGAAGGAGGCATCCGGTTCGTACATGATGATATACCGAGGCTTGACTTCTTCGAGGACATGTTCGTCCTGGTCACCTTCGTAGGCGTGTATCACGACGAGATCCTGCATCTCATAGAGCTGGAAGTAGTCGTCCATATCCTCCAGTGGATCCGCGATGATGTCGGCTTTCTGATTCGCTTCCTCCTCCGTGATCTGTACCTCATCCATCAGGTCAGCCACCTCGGAAGGCTTCTCGAAATACTGGGCAAGACTGCCATTCGCTGTTCTGCCAGGCGCGGCACCACCGGCCGCACCACCGCCACGTTGTCGCCGTCGCTTGTGTGCAGGGGCTCGTCCTTTGTATGCGCCTTGGGCTATCCGAGGGTCGACAGCGCCCTCGAGCGCCTTCTGATTCTCCGAGAACAGCGCATTGTTCACGTTGGCAAACTCTCTTTTCCAGTTCAGATAGTTGCGAAGTTTCCTCCTCATCATGAATGCTGCATTTGGTTTGTGCTCTTCCATGTTCTGTTTCGTCTCGTCGTCGGCCTTCGGCTGCACGTGCATTGCCTGTAGATAATCTCTCAACTGACGGCATGTTGCCGTATCAGAACACATAATGAGGATAGTTCCATTCGAGTCATCTCGCATAGCAGGTTCGAAGTAGAGATCTCTGTCAATCTCCTCCAGAATTTCGGCAAGCAGTGCCCATTTTGGCTGTTCTTCTAATACGGGACTGAGGGAGTCTACCGAGCTCTGGGCAGTGAGCTTCGCCTTGCTGGCGTACACCCTCCGCTTGGCCGTACTGAAGATGGTGTGGGCAGCGTCGAGGAATAACCAAGGAGACTGGTTCTGCCTCGTGGAGCCCGGCTGTGGAGAGTGGGCGGCGTGTATCGTGTCCAAGTGCTGTAGGAAAGAGACCGAATCCAAAGCCAAGACGGAGTGGAGCATGCCTCGAAGAACAGTCAGATCGCTCACGATTTGTTTGGTCTTCCAACTAACTCGATGCCAGTTGGGATCGAGCTGGCGCCGCACCATGACATCGAAGTTCTTAAGCAGCGCGCTATCGAGGTTCCAGTCGTCCATCTCGAGGCCCGAGTTGCCTTTCTTCAGCTCGTGGATGCTCACCTCGACGCATTCCATGATGGCAGTCTGGATATCCTTCATATCATCTGTCATTGGGACTTCGAGCTCGATGACCTCGGCCTTCTTCTTGCCCTCGAGAGAGCCGGCCACCGTCACGTGGAAACGAGGCCACAGGGAAGCCTTACGTAGAAACATGTTCCTCATCATTGTAGCAAGCGGGGAGAAGCCGACAGTAAAGGGATCTGGATTATCGGACAGGGCCTTCAAGAAGCCTGACTTGTTCTTCTGACGGTATATTCGTAGGATGAAGGCCTCGAGTGACGTTGCCACGACCTTTTCGGCGTGCAGTAGGACGACGCCCGTGATGCTGTCGGGCCTGAGCAGACCGGTCAACAGGTCGACGACCAGGATACGCGAGGTAACGCTGTAGATGCCGCCCTTGGCATACATCTTCTCCCTGGCACCGACACTGGTGAAGTCTGTATTCACGACAGTCAGACCACGCGCCTTGGGAGACATGCTGATGGCAGCATGTTCGGCCAGAGCCTCTCCGATCCAGGCATTCTCCCGGTCTTCGGCGCCCACGATTATGATCAGGTTGTTTCCGGCGGCGTCGTAGCTGTGTAGGAGGTTGGTGACCAGGCGCATGAGGCCGAGGCCCCTCGCGATGACGACGAGCCCATCTTCGGCGCGGAGCTCTTGGAACAGGTGCTGCTGGTACTCCTGGATTTGTTGTCGGTCAGTCAGCTGTCAAGTATAACAGAAGAGGACATCAAAGCTGGAGAACCATACAAGAGGCAGTGATAGTTTCACCGGTTGAGGAGCATTGTTCGCAGACATGCGGGGCACGTCTCTGGCGAGGGGAGGGACGCGACAAGGGTGTTCAGCGGTTCTCGTGCATACTCGCCGTGGGTAAGGCGACGCGTACGAAGATGAGGCGTTGGACGAGGGCAGACGATAGGCGACAAGAGGCGACAAGAGGCGACAAGCAGCGTGTAGTGCCAGCCTAACTAGGATCAAGTGACATTAAATTCTCGGCAGGTTATCTTGGAATGCTGTAGCCTAGCCTGTGACTGATCGAAGATCAAGGCTGCTGCTGAACATTCTCAAGCTTGCAAACAAAATCCGGGGTCGCGAATCATCGGCTTTAGAAGTTTAGACGCCGCCGCTTGTGACGCCGCTTCACCTCCAGCTGTCACGGGTCACCACCACTGCCAGTACGTCATCAACCCGCGTGACCACCACCACCACCACCACCACTTATACTTAAATAAGCTTCAGTACGTGCGCCTTCTCCTCCTCCTCTCCCAACAAATTAATACCTACGAGCTTTCATCTACACCAGTCTTTTGCGAAAGACAGAACACATCCAACACAACAAGTCTACACACAAGAAAGCACCAGAACCACCAACATGCCCGAGGACAACCCCTCTACTCAGGTACGTCTTACACCCGGTTGTATACCTGCTGGTTACTACCAAATGCTAAACAGTATTCTCAGACCGGCAAGTCTGAATCCAGCCTGCCAAAGTCCGTTGGCGACGCCGCAAAGGACGTACAAGGCTTCGCTGCCCACAAGGCTCACCCAGGCCCCGCCGTTCCCCAGAGCATGCCCGGACAGGAGGGATCTAAGGAGGAGCGACAGGCGAAGGCAAAGGAGTTGAACAAATAGACGCCCGAACAATAAAGAGTTTGGAGTTACTGCCTAAGAAGATAGACCATGACCTTACGGTGGGCCGGGTTGATGGTTAAGGGCTCGTGGTAGAGGTAGAGGTCTACCTCTCCTACTACACACCTAATGTAACGATGGACACGATGGTTACGAATAAACAATAGGCCGATGTGCCAAGCTGCCGAATACTGCTACCTCTCCTGACTCCGCTGAAGCAACTGAACGTGATTCAGCCGAGTCGGATTACTCCAGTCGAGTATCAGCCAAGCAGCAGTAGCCTCCAGGCAACCCATAAGATGGCGATCAGAACGCGCGTCGCACACTAAAGTTGTGAGGTCGGCAAGCCTGATCGCTCTTGAGTTCGTGTTTTGCATTGGCAGCTCTAGTTTGGATGTTGAAGACTGGCCAATTGTTGAACTCACTTTCCATAGGTTGACATGAGGGTAATCCAGACGTGAGGATGAGGATTCATGTTGGTTCCTTGAATTCGATATCCCATCGTGTGGCGCCGCTCAAGTGGGGGCACGATACTTGATACTTGCACTTCATACTGTGGCTGTGCTGGCCCTGTAACTTGGAGGTGCAGCAGATGCTCGATGATGTCGAATCCACTGGCCATGACAGCCAGCGGAAGGCACTGTTCCTTCCACCCATCCATGTCACTAAACCGTGCTGCCTGTTTTGAAGACAGAAGAATGTCTCTTCATCAACTTTCAAGCAATTGTTACAATTTATTACCAAAAGACAATAGTTGTCCTACTTGTAGCATCGGTCTCGGCTGATCCCTCCGTCATAACCGAGATTCCCCCAAGGCTGTGCTCCAGCCGTGCGAACCCACCAGCCAGCCAGCCATCCATCCATTGATTGGGCTTCTTTAGACTTCCAACCGCTTTGCAGCCTCTCAGACAGACCCAGCGATTGAGCCGCATCCTCTACCACTAAAGCGCCGCCACTACGCGCGTACGCTGCGAAGCATCTTTGACTTGGAACGATTACGAGTCGACATTGTCCATGCTCACTAAGGCTTCAGCGGGCAGGGAGATCCGGCATCGACAACTTGTGCCCCCGTTCCCTCGTTCCCCCCGATACGTCACACGACCTGGACCAGCCACCTCTACTGCGACCACACTGCGACCACGATGCCATCGATCCTCAGTGAGGAAGACAAGGAGACCGTCAAGCGAGTCGTACCCAAGCAGACGAACAAGATCCAGGCTGTGGCTGTCGCCAGGTTATATGTCGCATACCCGAACCGGTCAAAATGGACCTACACTGGACTCCAGGGAGCCCTCGTCCTCTCCAACGACCTGGTGGGGAACACATACTGGCTGAAGCTGGTAGACGTCTCCGTGAGTTACTCTACGCGGACAACATCCTCTGGTTAGGTTGCAAGCTGACTCCCGCCAGCCTGCCGGTCGAGGCGTGATATGGGACCAAGAGATCTTTGACACCTGGTCCTATAACCAAGATCGAACCTTTTTCCACTCCTTCGAGCTCGAGGACTGCGTAGCGGGACTGTCCTTCATCGACGAGAAAGAGGCGAAGCAGTTCAAGAAGAAGATGGACGAACGGGAAAAGAACGCATCGAAGGCTACAAGAAACACTCCGTTCGGTGGTGCTGCACCCCAACCACAAAAGTCTGGTTTCTTCGGTGGCATCTTTGGAGGACATAGGCATTCCTCCGCCCCGTCACCAACACCCCCCGTGTCCCCACGAAGCAGCCTGCCGCAACTGCAGTCACATGGCAGAACGTCTTCCGGAAACGTCAATGGCTTCCATAAACCGCCATCCGAGTTCGCTAAGCTGGAGGCATACGATCCCAACTGGCGAGGGAACTTTGGCAACTTCTTGTCGGAGCAGGGCCTCACGGACGAGTTCATCAAGGACAACCAAGACTTTATTGTTGACTTCTTGAAGGAACAAGGAGGAGGAATCCCCGGCCAGTCCACTGCACCGACACCAGCGCCTCCACCACCTCCTCCACCTGTGAATGGAATGAGCAGCCACGCTCGAGCGCCTCCTCCGCCGCCTCCTGGTGGTCCACGGCCACCGATTGAAAGCGTAGCAACGTCGGGATCACGTGGAGCTCCGCCACCTCCACCGGCGCCGCGAAGATCGGCTAAATCAGAGTCGATCATCCCGCGAGAACCAACGCCTCCGCGGGAACCCACACCACCACGTCCGCGATTCAATGCTCCTCCTGCGTTGCCAGATGCTGGCAAGTTCGCCCATGTTGAGCCTCAGCGAGCCGCACCTGCTGGACCTCCACCCCCTCCGAGGCCACCGAAGACTCCAATGGATGACAAGGAGGAAAAGCCCGGTCATAGGTTTGGGGTGCCTCCGGCTTTCGCCGGCCAGAGACTGAACAGCGTGCCGCCGCCGCCGCCACCGGCTAGGGGTCCGGTGCCTCCTCCACCACCACGTGAGCAGCAGTATCATCCAACACCACCACCACTACCTCCGAGTCTTCCACCCAAGGCTCCAGGTGGAAGTGCGCCGCCACCACCACCTCTGCCAACAGCATCACGGCCCATTCCCGCGCCACCTCCAAGAAGCACTCCTCCTCCACCACTGCCAGCATCGAACGCGCCTCCTCCGCCTCCTTTACCGCAATCATCGGCACCGGCGCCTCCGCCTCTCCCACCTCCATCTGCGAGGCCGCCACCACCATCCGGCGCTGGCGCGCCTCCTGCACCGCCTCCGCCTCCTCCTCCTCCCGGTGGTGCTGGCATGCCTCCTCCCCCGCCACCTCCAGACCGTGACTCTGGCTATGCCTCAACCGCGCCAGCGGTACCAAAGGTGGAGCCCGCTCGTGGCGCTTTGCTGGGTGATATACAGAAAGCCGGTGGTATCGGTGCGCTCAGGAAAGTGGATAAGACTCAGGTCAGAGACAGAAGTGCAGCCGCAGTCGGAGGAGCAGGGCCAGATACAGGGCCGCACGGTAGTGGGCTGCCACCCGCTGGCGTCGCTCCCGGGGCCGGAGGCGGCATGGCTGACGCGCTTGCTGCCGCCCTGCAGAAGCGCAAGGCGAAAGTTCGTGATAGCGGTAAGTGCTTCGTCCTTGAAAGTAGTTTGGTGAGGCTGATACTCATACTTGTGTAGATGACGAGAAGAGTGACGACGAATGGTAGAGTCTGGTCGAGAATGCTCGTCTGCAGCGGCGTATGCTCGGGGGTTATGAGCGCAAGGAGATTGAGCTGGGTTTAACGGGTGGAAGAGACATTTACGAATCTTGGACGACACGTTGCGGTCACCATGGAACGAACAAAAGACCATGATGAGGGCGCTTGAGGCGAACGGCGAGCAGATGAGCACCATCTGTTCACGACGACTGAGACTGTGATGATTGCTATCACTATTTTGGCTGGTTCTGCGACAAGACGGCCCATGGGGATGGACCCGGGCTTTCACTTGCGAAGCCCGTCATACTTTATGGTCATCAAGTTATGACTCAGGGGCTCTCATACGAGCTGGCCCTTGCCTGCGGTGCATCTATCAAGCTTGTTTCGGTGGTGTCGAAACGAGAGCGAACGACCGCCCGACTCACCGACCGATACGACGTGCTTCGGTCGAAGGCAACACGAGAGCCATTCCGCACTGGCTGTATAGGAGCATACGGGTCGGAAGATCAATATGAGCAGTAGTAGAGCAAGTGCCATTGTGCTGGGGTGGGCAACGTACCTAGGCATCACGCTGATGTTACAACGGTGGCTAGGGTCACCTTCGGTGTGTGGTCAAGGCTACAAGAGCAGGGAGCAGATTCAGAGTTACTCAGGTAGTTTTGGAAATAGAGGAATATCAGATCATGAAATTCGATTCAGATCCAATGATCTGGTGTTGGTCTTTTACTCGTCGTCTCGTGATCCTTACAGCGGTGTGTATTCCTTCCTCTGGGCTAAATGGGTTGTTTGGTTGTCCAATGATTTCGAGGTCTCAGTGGGCAATCCCTTGCAGGAGGAGAAGTACGGCTTCGATAAGTTAGTTTTGGTTCCAAAGCCCACGTGGTCATAGAGCAGAGGCAGAAGAAGCTTCTGATGTCGAAAGATGGGCTGCGTCATCTCAACAATGCGAGTATCAATAGAACAATTGCTCGATAGATGTGAAGAACGGGGCAAGAAAGATCGCTCGTGTCCCTGGTAGACGAATCAAGAAACCCGTCTCCGAGGCACACAGCGAGCGGTGCTGACTCGAGCCTCCTTCCTGGTTTTTTTCGCAGTCAGTCAGTCAGTAGCCACTCAGCCACTACGGCGTCCAGATGGTAAGTCGTCTGTCCGAACCTTCTTTCCGGTCCACTGCCCCTGAGCCTAACCCCGAGACCAGCGCTCAACCTAACAGCCGCAGCTGCGTCTGCGTCTGCGTCTGCGTCTGCGACCCGGTGTCGTACCCGTTATAGTACTGCCGATACAGTGGCTCGGGCCCCGTGCGGTTCGGGCACGACTTTGAATGTCCTCGGCTGGCCGGACTTCTTTGTCCTGAATCTATGCTTGTCTATTTGGTTGGTTGCTGATCGCTTGCTTGACATGCTCGTCGGTCTACCGAGGAGTGAGACTCGGGTTCAGGTCCAGCATCGCCGGCGGTGAAAGGGCAGCTCCATGAGTACACGGCGCGCGTGGCCGACAGTATTGACACTTACGCCAAGGCCGCATGGACTGGTCGTGTCCCTGGATAGCCTCAGCTTCATGTTGAGGTGTTGTGCTACCGGCAACGCCGGTTTAGTGGGTTGCGATGGTGCGAAGTTCGCCAATGGAGTCATAATTGAGGGCTATGCCTCCTTTTGAGTAAGTAGTAGGAAAGAGATCTTGCTGCTCCTGAATCATTTCCACCCGGTTTGGGCTTCCCCGGCCCGCCGTTGAGGGCCGGGGATGCGTCTTTTCATGGGCAATCGCTTCGCAAGAGTACACTTTTCTCCTACCCTTGGCTACGCAGCAGACAAAAGCGAGCGTTCGCTTACTCTTGCGAGATGAAATGAACAGCACCAGGTAGACAGAACCTCGTAATGAGGCTAAGATTTGGGCATCATGGTCGCGGAGTCACGCAGCAAGCAGTAGGTGTGTGGAATAGGCAGACAACTCCCGTATGATTTCCATTGAATCGTGCAACTGAGCAACATTTACATAACAATGCAAGAGTTCTATCATCTGCTCTATCTAACCCGAACGTCCTCCGAAAAGAAGCTCAGCCGTAAGCGAACTGGATATAACAACGCTCAACGCAAAACAAAAAAGGGGACAGATCCCAGTACGTCGAGTACGGGTAGGAAACATCATATTGAAGCATATCTCATATGTCGCTGCGGACCCTGGAATATCGATGGGCTCTGAAGATCTGGAGCTGGGTTCCCTCGCCCCTGGAGTCGGGATCTCCATCATTGTCATGATGTTTCCCACCTCGCCCAAGCCGTACTGTTCCCGACCCGGTAGATCCAATCGCTCGATGCCCGCCGAGTAGTCGTAAAATTAACCAGTCAATGGTGTGCGGCACATGTACGGGGTCGTAAAAACGCGAGGGGTGTTGGGATGATGCTGATGCACCGGTTTAGAAGCCGCCTCTGGCACCGCTCTTCTCATCGATGTGGCGGTAGCGTTCCTGCTCCTTTCTGTCCTTCAGCAGGCAGGCGATGGCCATTACGAAGAGAGCATCGATGCCGACCATGCCGAACACGGCCGTGAAGATGTTGTCCACGAAGGTGTTGCCGAAGGACGTCAGCGGGGTGGAGCAGCCGGGCAGGAGGGCAGCGGCAGCCGGGCTGGGGCAGGTGGCGTCGGTGATGAAGGCGGGCGAGCTGGCGTTGAAGTAGCCACAGCATTGGAACTGCGGAATCTGTCAGCATGATATACGCAGATACCTTCATTCATCATGTCATGTATCAACTCACAGCCGTCTGCATCAATTCCTGGACTTCGCCATTCTGCGCGATCCAGATGTGCTGGTACGTCTCCTTCATCTTGAGGGTCAGGACCCACAGGTCGACACCGATGATCAGCGAGAACAAGGCGTCGATTACGACCAGGTAGCCCGCGAGCTTCAGCCAGCCTCGGCTGTTGGTGGCGAGCGCCGGGAGCGTGCACAGGAACACGACGAAGGTCACGATGGCGTTGGCGATGCCGGCTAACAAACGGTCAGTCTCTTTCTCTCTCTTCCATCTCAAAAGCCTTCCTTCGGCGTCTCGTCAAACTCTGATGGACTCCTTACCTGTGAAGGGGAACTCCCGGTATAACAGGTCACGAGCTGCGTCGTTTCCGTTGGTCGGCGCGTCGAAGCAGGTCTGTCGGACGATGACGGAGAAGCCCAACATGACGGCGCCCATGGCCACGAATAGCCCGTCGACGGCCATGAAGGCCGCAAGCACTTTGTTGACCATATTGGTTCTGTCGAGCAGCCAGTTGGCTCCGAGGCTGTTGATCCCGAAGTACTTGGCCGCCCGTATATCCTCCTCTTTGGTCCGTGGACCCTATTCCTCCTTATCCCCCCGTACTAAAATGCGTAGTTGAGAAGTAGCGACGACCGGCGTCTCTCGTGTTGTGAATAATTCTGCTGTCGTGGCGTCGTCGTAAAGTGCAGGATGCTCCAGGCCAAGGAGCAGTAGTGGAATGAATGGAACGTCGAATAATTAATCGACTCTACAGCGCCAGCACCAAACAACAAGAAAACACCCTACCAAAAAGTCGGAATGGGAGAGAAGGGAAAATCGGCAAGGCGAAAGCGAAGATTAGGATAGATAGCGGAATGGGATACGATGCATGAGAGAGCGACGTGGGACAAGAATAGATACACAAACGCAAGCGCCGGGCCTGGTAGCAAGGACAAAGCACCCCACGTTTTGCCTTGCAAGGTCTGGCAGTCGGTCTGTGTCTCGACTCTCTGGTCTCTGTTTCTACGCAGGCGAAGAGGTGAGGGAAGTGGGAGAGGCGGCGACGCGCAAGCCCAGGACTCAGGAGGAGGACGAGTTGAGACGGGACACAGAACCAGAGTGGCCTGACTGACTGCCGGCAGAAACGCACAGGAAACAGCCTGGACCCCACCTACCGTGATGCGATGTAGTGTTGGTTGTGGCCTTGCGCAGCCATTCTGCCATTGTGTGCGGGTGTGGAAGTTCGAGGGTGGCCACGATGTGCCATGATGTGTGATCCCCGACGGTTGTGGTTTCGGGATTGTCAGGGGTTCCGACATGTCACCCCTGAACCACGCCGCTTTTAGCCTCAGCCAGTCTTCTTCTCCCAGCTTATGCAAACTAATTCTGCATAAGACGTAGCCCTTTCTGACGGATACGATTCCGTTTATAAGACGCTCCATTCGAAGTTCGATATCAACCAGCCAATATTACTGTCAAAATCTCCTTGGAGCTTCCTGGTGAATGAGCAGCTACATATGCTGCCAATGTGGGAGAATGATGAGTTCATTTCGGACCAGCTGGGTGGCCAAAATGAGTGAATTTCGCGCCCGCACAGCCAGCAAACCATACCATCCCCACTGACAGCTTGGTAAATAGACCCGCATAATTACAAAAATTCCATTGATAGGTCGCTTAGCTCAGTTGGTTAGAGCGTGGTGCTAATACTCCCCATTGAGTTAACGCCAAGGTCGCGAGTTCGACCCTCGTAGTGACCAGTTTCATTTTTGCCTGAAAGTATCCTTTTGCTCTTTATGTGTCTAGATGTTCGGTGCCGGCGCAGACGCGGGCGTCGTTGCGGGGCCGGCCGATTAAGAAGGGGCTCTGGCAGGCACGATGTCTCAAACCCAAGTCCCCGCGACTTTTATCAGCTCAAAGTGGCCGGCAGCGACCAGCAACACCACGCGCCACTAACTAGCACAGCTTGAGGCTGTTTGCCATTTACACGACATCTTTGTGGGCGGGCCTCCTTTGCGTTCCTTCAGTGACCTTGACGATCCTCACATTCCTCCCTCATTTCGCGAAAACATCACTTCTTAGGGACTGTGTGTATGCTTTTTGGTAGGGGGAGGAGGAGAGCTTGGGATGTGTCGAATACTGCCCTCTCTCGCAACCCCTCCTGCAATACCTAGGTAGCTGGATCGCGACCCTTGCAAGCACTGCACAGAAGACTCATGGCGCCCTCAAAGTATGTCCTTCGCATACTGAGGGGGCCAGTCAAGCAAGTTCACGTCTATTGAAAGCTCGCTGGCCCGGGTCAGGAAAGTGAATGATGCAACTGTCAGATCATACATGTTGCTTCTTCGGTTGCGGTATCCATCCGTCAGCGAGAACGGCTTCTCACCTTGGCACTCTTGGGTCGCCATTCGTCCATCCACTTACCGAGTATGGCTCACGCCGCAAGATTGCGTGAGTGGATGGATCTCGGTTTCTTTTTCCGATGCAGCTGTGGCTCTCTGTTTGCAGTCGCCGATAGGGAGAGGGTGGCCAACATGACCTGGTAAAAAGAAATGGCTTGGTGATGGCCCGTGTCCAAGGCGTGGTCCTACCAACTTTGATACTTCCATCGCTGCCATACATATACACACCACTGGTTCTGACCTGACCACCAGCACAGGACGCATTCACTTCCTTGGAAAACTGATTCAGGTTCATCATCATTCATCATGCCCAAAGCTGCCCAGGGTCGCGCCAACAACGCGCGGTCGAACCCCCTCGGGAAATCCTCCCCCGCCACCTCATCAGCAACAGTTGGTCGAAGCACCAACAACTACATCCTTCAAGTGCAGCTCAAATACATCTCGAACCCGCACGTCACACGCACTCTGGTCGTGCCCGCCGACTTCACATTCCACCAGCTGAACAACGCCCTCATAGTGGCTTTCGGCTGAGCCGACTGCCACGAGTCCCAGTTCATCATCAGCGGGCCGCCTCAAATGGACCTGCCTCCGGGTGCTTCAAGCGGTCTATTACTACCCGGCCCGGACCTTCTTCGTCTCGGGACGGACTACTCGGAGTGGAACGACGACGACATCACGAAGCGGATGAGGGATTTCGCACTGAAGGACGTCTTCGACAACGAGAAATACGCCGGCAAGGCCCGGATCATGTGGGAATACGACTTCGGCGACGGCTGGGAGCACCTCATCCATTTCGTGGGCCAAGAAGACCCTTGGTTGAGAGCCTCCATGGGCCTCGATCCCCGTGCGCGCGTCGTCTGCATCGCTGGCAAAGGCTCTCCCGTGGCAGAGGACTGCGGCGGGACGGAGGGATGGCGGGAGCTGAAGAACGCGTTCGCGAAGGGCGGTGCCGACACGGAGGTTCAGAAGGCATGGTACAAACGCATGTGCCAGAACCGGGATCCCGAAGGTCTGAACCCCTATCGGTGGGATATTGCTGAAGTCAACCAGGCTTTGGCCGATGGAGGAGACTTTCCGGTGAACAAGAATTTTCCGGTAGACGAGGATTGGGTAGCTGAGCTCCTGCTGCCATCTACAGTATAGTTTCTCCTGTCTATCGATTGACACGTTCCTAATGCGCGTGTATGGTCGGGACTCGAGTCCAATATGTAGAACTCAACATCGGAACCAACGTCGCTGCCACATCTAGCCTCCGATCTCTTCCGGTCTTGTCCTCAGCCACCTTCATACGATCATTGCGTCCGGGTTGACACCTTACGAAGTAATGGTTTGGTACATCGGGAGAATGCGACACTGGTACTCGGGTTCGACCGACTGATCATGGTCGTTGCTATCATGAAGCGGTGACGCCACGACCCAAATCCTGGCCTGACTGACCTCCCCTTTCCGGCCCGAGATAACATTGTTCAAAGATACCGCTGGGAACGATGTTCATAGCTACGCATAAGATACCACTTGGGCGTAAAGGCGTCACTGATGGCGTTGTAAGTATGCTTGACTATTCCATCTCTTCCCCAATGGGTCCGTCCGTCCAGGTTCTGCGTGTGTTCCGCGTAGGTAGAGTTTCCGAATCTTCTTGCTGTCCGGACCTCACGCCATACAACAAACGATTCATCGTCGTGGACGCCAAGGCTACATTCCTCGTTCTTGAATGGACATCTCTTAGCCGGCCTGCGCCACGACCTCTTGTGAGCCAAATGTCACTCGAATCTTTGATTTAGAGGTCCCACTAGAGAGACGCCGCCATCCCTCGCAGGCACAAATCTCTATCATACATATCACATCCGGATGGCAGACGGATACCCCGTTGGCGAAACCCGACTTGCGTCTAACAAACACGGTCTGACTTCGTCAGGTATTGGATACGCCAACCTAACCCCCATGACGCGCGTTCTGGAAGCAAAAATCGACAAAAATTGACTTCTCAACTAACTTTCGTGAGTTTGATGAGAGGAAGCTGTTGGTCCCAGGCGGGGTTGAACCGCCGACCTTCGCATTTACTTGATGCTATACATCGTGAGTATAGTATTAGTACGACGCTCTAACCAACTGAGCTATAGGACCATGGAGTATACGATGTTGGATAACCAACGAAGCCGAGATGAGATTTTTCGATTCGAAGACGGCTTATCTGTATGATGGGGCGGGGATGGAAGAGATTTTCAGGTTTGCTTGCCCCCACCGACGGCTGGGGCAGGACTAAAATAATGTTGCCCAAGTGCGGTGGAGAGAGAACTTTGAAGTGTTGGAAATCTATCAGAGTCATTATCAGAGTCATTATCAGAGTCATTATCAGAGTCATTAGTGACAAACGTATGTCAGACCGTTTCGCTTTAGCTGTCTGAACCTCCTCCGTTTTGCTGGCCTGAAGCTCCTCTATTTGCCCGCTTAAACGTTACCTCTGAAAAACGCAGAGCCCTTTTTCCGAGACGCCCCTGCGGGGCGTCGGTTTCCGTGCCCTTCAGGCACTCGATTTACACGTTGTACTTTAAGTACTAATCCTTACTAAAAATTAATACTGTGGGTATTTCGATGCGACCTGTGACGGCCTGCACAGACCTTCCCACATGACAAGCGGATACTTCCCAATAGGGGAAGGATCTGACCAGAGGATCCCCTTAAAGGGGCAACCTCCCACTGTACCTATATCTCTCTCTCTTCCTTTCCTCTCTAGTCTTGATATTCTCGTCAATAGAGTAATAGCTGCTTGCTGCCGGCCCTGTCCCAGCTCCTCAGTACGCTCGCCGTGACACGACCGACGAAAAGAAGGTTTATAAATTTTATAAACAAAAGTGCCTTATTATACGTTAATTTATATATAAAATAAAAGTTATGTATGTTACGTAATTGTTAACCTTGATATTATTATTACGAATTAACGCGATAAATATACTTTTATTAATCTCAAATTAGTACTTGATTTTTTAATACCGGTATACCTTTATCTAAAATGATAGTTTTATTTTTCAAGCGCGTTATATTTTTAATTTAATAATATGTTAAAATCTTAGATCTATGTAGTTCTAGCCCGTAAAGCATTTATATTAAAACTTATATATATAATTAAATAAGAGATTGGATACCGGATTGCGAAGTTATTTAGCTAGACCTTTTAAACCACTTATTAGCAACATTATAAACTTTAACCTATACTCGAGTATTATAATTGATCGGTTGACCCAGTTTTAATATAAAATTATATATTACGCTTTTAATTTATAACTACGCGTCAGATTGAAGTTTTTAAAAGTCTAGCTTATTATTTTAATACGTATTATTAGATGGAGTGGTGCAAGTGGTGTGGCTGCAGGTGGTCTGTGCGCAGACCAGGTAGATTTGGGGTGGTCCTAGCGCTCTAGAAACGGTCGATTAGCAATCGTTACCCCACAGCTCCAGCGCTACGCCAACTGGACGCGTTGTAATTGTATTTAAGTGTAAATCTGTCTGCAATAGGTAGTTACAAAACCACGAACGAACGTACTACCAATACTTCCGCATACAAATTCTCACGTCTATTAACTTTTAATAAGTTATAAATTTAACTTAAACGCGTAATTATTACTTAATAATATTATTAATATACCTATATATTACGTAATAGTCTCGTAGTTATATATTCAATAGCAACTAATATATTATAAACCTTTATAACACCCTTAATACTTAGATTGCTAGGCGGTCTTTCGTTACTTTGACTATCTAATTGGTTTATTTACTGTGACGGTGTACAGCTGTATTTACCTGGTTGGATGCTGACTCATCAGGTCACGCATAGATTAGATAAAGAAGGACATCACTATATGTGCTGCAGCCATTCGGGTACACGCACCCTTGGATTCCTTTCCTTCCTCACCTTGTTATTTTGGGAATACAACACCAGATTCCACCACAACGCCGCAGGCATCGTCACATTTACCTAGAAAAGTGGGTTAAATTTTCAATATATACAGATAGAGGCTGCCTAGTAGACTGGGCGTTTCCGAGGTAACTTAAACGTACGTGTATAAATGTAATCCTTTAAGACGGCGAGCACACTAAGCCTCCTTCGCTCGCCCCGGGCCTCCCTACAGATCTGAAGCACTGCGGCGCCTCGCAAATCGTGTACATGTCGCAGCATGTGCCAGCTATTGAGCCGTGCACCTTGAGTTGTTCGAGGCTCGACTGTCTGGGCTAACAATCCAGATGATGGCTACTCCAGGCCCTGGATCGTCTGGGAAGAAATCCGGTATGAGGCTCTGAGTCTCTGACGGCTTGGCATGTGAGGTCCTCCGGGATGCGTGTGCGTTCGGATGGTCTGTGATTACGGCAGATCTACCTACTAGATCACGATGCCAACAAGCGTGGTGTTCCATCTGAAGAGGTCGACTTGTGGCTTGTGTGGATTCGATCAGCCCCAACGGGTTTGTGTGTCCAACGGTGAGTGCTTCACCGGGTCAAGTTACTGCTGACTGATATGTCAAGTCCATTTGCTTGCTCTATTGTCCACATGTGTCTGTGTCGATGTCAAGCGTCACCTTAGGGCGTGCCTCCGAGAATGTCAATGAGGTGGCCCTGTCGCCACGCACATCTACCGGTACCAGCATATCGCATGAAAGATCAGAAAGAGACGCTGGAGATCTCCAGGCACTTGCGACAGCGACATGGGTCGAATGGCTAAAATAGAAGCATGCAGATGCGCCCCCGAATGAGTAGGACGACGTTCCTGTACCTAGGTGACCAATGACACTCACTTGAGCCGAGGGATCTCAGCCCGCCGTCATCCTCACTGATATCAGACATGAGCCTCTGTTCGCCATCAGCCTCGCAGCCTGCGGTTTTGTTTCCTCCTCCTCATCCTCCACCTCCGTGTACTGTTTCACGCAACACGAGCAGTAGAAACCGCCAACGGACGCATCGAGCCGCAGGTCACGGCAGTGGATGCAACTCGAACCCAAACCTCAAGCTGCCAAACGTCCTGTATCCTGCGCGAGCGGGATACCAAGCCGGCTGCGTGCTGCGCGATGCCTGGCGTGACGTGACGTACAGTCAACCTCGGGAGCGGAAGCGTGCCGCTGCTGCAAACCCGATTGCTTTTGCCTCCTGCGATTTGTGTTCTGTGCCTCGAACGCACACCTGATTGGGTGGTACGATGCGAAGATTGGTCGGCGGGAGCGGCTGCTCGCATATTCAGACCGGGAAAAGGGCGGAAGGCGACTTGTTCAGATTTGCTTCCGAGACTTCGGGACTGTGGAGGGTGAATGGGCTCTGCATTGGGAGCCGTGAGACCCTCACTGTTCAGTAACCTGTGCACTCGGCCGGTACTGTGTCACAAGATGCTGCTCCCCCGTTCTCGAGCCATCAGACAAGGTGTACCAACGTATGCGTTTGGTTTTGCTGCTGACAGCATACATGTACCTGTGCGCTGTCGTCATCGAGGTCGTGCCGAATGCAAACTGCTGCAGAGGTGTGCCGTTGGAAGCTTCTGTATGGATCGCTTCCTTGGTAGTGAACTGAAATCCCTAAGCGACGACTACTAGGTAGCGAGTCATCATCTGACTTCGTAGTAAGAAGCAATGCGTTTCTCTTGCTGTATGCACACGAGCGGCGCGGGACTTTCAGCATCGGGTTCTTACTTGCCTGCCGTGCTCGGTTTTCTGGGTGGCATTACCCAATTGGGCGACTTCAAGATCGCGACCAGATGAGGACAACGAGCGCGCCGTACTGGGTTGTAAATTTATCATTGAACTGCCCTCTTGTGGCTTGAAGGGAGCATCCATGTAAGCGCTTGATGTTATCTGAGGTCATGAGTCGAGAACCATCATTGTAGCTTTGGGCTGGCTAGCAAGACCTCGATGGTTGATGAGAACGGCGTGTTTGTATTCCCAGAATAGCGCACGAAGCAAGGCGTCCCTCGTGGCCTGTCGTGGGGAACTTCGGTACCATGCCTGCTGGAGAATACTTCCCATCGCGGTTTTCTCCAGCGGGGTATTCTTTTGCTCCTCGTCCTTCTCATATAGCTCTCAACTCCCTCGTCCTTGGTAGTTTTTTGTCGACTACCGATCATCAACAAGCTGCGGGCTCATCCTCCTAGCAGCTTGTTGACAAACACACTCGCGAATAGAGTCATCCACCGTCATGGTGAGAACACCCCAATGCCCATGGCCTCGCGCCCCTGTCCGGGTTTCCAACGGGCCCCCCCCCATTCCCTTCTCCGAAGCTAGCTGTTCTTTCAACTTTGGTCTGTCCTTCTATTCCCGGCATCACAGTCATCGTTCATTGGTCCTCCACATGGTATCTTTCTCCCCACTGATGTCCCGTCACCCTTGATCACCTTTGACAGTGCGCGTTGCCAATATGCACTGATCTCGCTTGGCCAGTGCGGGCCCGAGAACAGTGAGCACACTCCCAGCTCCCAGAGCGGAACGATAAACATGATCGCACCCGTCCGTAACATTTCATATTTGGGTTTGGCGCGTCCAAAAGGCTGGGGAAGCCTGACCGGCCTCCGTTTCGCAATTGCGTGGTCAGTGTTCTCGATCGCGAATACCGCGGCCCGGCATTGCTGTTTGGTGAGTTCCACGCGCCGGACACAACGGCCTCTTCTTCGAAGCTGACAGGCTGTCAAGCGGCATGCCTGAATCACCGCCCATGATAACGACGAATTCTTGAGTGGCTTTATGCATCTGCGTCCGTGCGAGACGTGCAACGGGATGCTGCATCGACCGAGGAGTAAGCCAATCAACAGCAGCGAGATGCTTTGGAAGCCCGGATCTCCACCTCAGGCCTTGATCATGTACTCGACCGAGTCAGTCATTTCCTTAGCGCAACCAGCTTCCACTTGAAGGCTGAAGCAGAGCCGGGCTGCAAGTGTTCGAGCGACAAGTTTGGCAACATGCATACTCGAGCATTGGAGAACAGAGAAAGTTGAGCCTTCCGGACTCATCAGCAGGGGGGTTCATCAAGGCTCTGGGGTCTGGCCGCCCGTTGGAACATCTGTCCTGGAAGTCCCAATCTGGCGACACTCCTAAAGGGTCGAGACTCCTCTATCTTATTGGCCACGGAGGTCGACGTGCTTTCAACCCCTGTTCCATTGGATGCGCCCCTCGCGCCACTCACGCACAGCTGTCGGTTCCGCTTGCACTGCGTACTGTACGAGCAGGGGAGTCGTGTCACGTACTGTGTGGGTCGGATCTTACTGTGAAAAGCCCCATTAGGAATGTCTGCCAGGTGCCAGATGTTAAGCGATACAGAGAGGCTCTATCCGGACGCGATATGGCAGGAGTGACAGAACATCACCACTCGGCCATTGTCGAAGGTGTATGCTGCAGACACGTTTGGCGTCTCTCGCCTGCCTCGCAACACAGACAAGATCAGACGAGAACACTACATCAAAAAGGGTTCCGTAGTCTACCATTCGCACTGTCTGTTTTGATTGGATAGGAGCAAGGTGCTACATGTGTTCGCCCATTCCACGTGATATCATGAGCATGCCATAGGACGACACTTGAAGAATCGAATTATTATTAGACTACCAACCGTAATGTCTGGTTGAGATCGAGAAATTTCAATTCCAGTTCCTATCATTTATTACTATGAGTTGAACTTCCTCTCGTGGTAGTATAACCACCCTCTCGCAAGCTCCCAGTAAGCAAAGTCGTGCATGTTATTAGGTGAGCAACTACCAAAGAATAGGCATGTTGCGATTCCATCCAAAGGCGAAGCACTTTCTTCTGCTCATATTCACCACAACGAAGCATCGAGAATACTGATATGTTGATGTTGACGGAGGCATGATTCTGTGCGTTCACATCCAGGACCTAGCTGGCTTGTTCTGATATGTCGCTTGAAAGGGATATGGTGGCAACTTACCGGCAGCTGGGCGGCTGTGCTTGATTCTTGCTACCGAGAACAGGTCTGTAGATGATTATATTTCTTGTCAACAACTCAGCTAGCGCCTGTATTAGAGGAATGTCTCTCGAGATGATAGTGAACACCAAGGACGATGTGCACCTCTGATCTGTGTTTGGGATCAATAAATCTGATATCTTGCCAAATCACGAGACACAAAAAGGAAAGGTCTATCACAATGCACTGCAGTGGGAAATCGAGGTCAGAGATAGCATGGCAGCTGGCGGGCTGGCAGCGGCAAGTGGAGACTCTCCGTAGCAACTGGTCACCGTGCAACACACCCACAATCTCAACTCGATATCATCCACCTTAACTACCTTCCCACATTCGGGTAAGCCATGGTACAATCTCAACGTCTCACTGGTTGAACAGAATCAAGCGCCTCCCCTAAGCACACTAGCCCATCTTCACCTGCTGCCCATCACTCGATCACGCCTGCAGCTTGGAGGTACCTCGCTGCTGCGGGGTCACAGTAATTTCTGCAACTCTGCAACAACCTCGGGAAAAGAGCGGGTCACAGTGCACGCCTTTGAACCTTATCCTTACCAAACCTCTTCCATTCGAACGCTTCACCCGTACGACAATCTTGGTGGCATAGCTGAACGAACAGGAAGTCGCGCAACATCTTCTCCTCGATCTCACCTGGGCATCACTCTGATCATCCATCGCGCCGGTTAAGGTGGTACTACTAGTGCTAGCCTGCGCTAGTCGTTCGTTCAAGGTGAGTGATTGGAAGGCGCGATTATTATCTACGGACCCGTTTGCATTGGACTTCCGACTGGGGGTGGGTTGAGTTCATGTTCGTCTGACCGAGCAGCGAATGAGGCCATTGTAGACTGGGAACTAGATCCACATGCGGCCCAATCTGTCAGTGCTAGCGTCGGTTCCTAGGTACTGTACACAGCAACCCGGCGGCTCCAGCCTCTAGCAACACCCCACAGTCAAGGGACGCTGCAGGAGTCAGGGCAAGCTTGATCAGCAACGGGAGGTGCAGCAGGTGCACCCAGTGCCCACAGCCCCAGCGCCCCCCGCAGCTTCACTCTTTAAACTGCCTGGCTGCCTGGTCCGTGGCCACGCAAAAGCCCGTGTGCTACCACCTCACTATCCTCTTTTCAAACATCCCGCATTCACCTTTCCTGATCAATCAAACCGAATTGATACTGACATCGTTTGGGTCCTTTCTCTACAGGGCAAGCTTTCGACATTCGACACCCATTTCACCGCCCACTCCCTAATCATTAACAATTCTCACGGTCGTAAACAGACCACAAAAGGAAATCCTGATACCTTAGGCAGATACGCACTCCGCCTCGGGAAGCAAGCACGGGCAGCCATACCTGTGAACGGCGCAATCACAAGGTCATTTGTTTTCCTCGTGGTAGGCACCGCTGCATCCCCCAAGAAGAAGAATTCGACATCCAAACTCTGGAAAACAGCGCATACTAGGAGCCGGACAGGGCAATACCGAGGTCTATCCATCCCATTTCCCCTCCAGAGCTACGACGAAACTGGTCCCAATTGGATCAAGCTTCTCTCCAAGTTTCCCCAGCACAGCCCGCCCAAGCCCGAGGAGGCGGACCGCCAAACAAAGCAATAGTAATAAAATTCTTCGGCGCTCGGCTTCCACATTTGTTCCGCCCGGCCCTCCAAACCCCAGGCAGCCCAGGCACAGACACACCAGACTCGATACAGCAGGCGCCCCAACCAGGTTTCTGCGACAAGATTCCAGCCTACTACAACAGAGCCTCTCCGCTCAACGCCAGATCCAGTATAGGTCGTCGGCACCACGACGAAAGCAGTATCTCCACCATTTTTGCCTTTTCCGTTGGTGATACCGTCGCCGCCGCCGCACCGTCGTCAAAATGGCCGACATTACCGACCAACACGACCAGACCTCGCCGACCGAGCTCGACGACAGCCACGTCGGCAATGGCAATTCCGCGCCTGGTGAGAGTCGCGGCATCAAGCGTCAACGCAATAGCATCGCCGAAGACGATGATGACGACGATGAGAAGGGTGGCCGCGAGCGCCGCAAAATCGAGATTAAGTTTATTAGCGACAAGTCGCGTCGCCACATCACCTTCTCCAAGCGCAAGGCCGGAATCATGAAGAAGGTATGTTGCTGACTGTCGCCCGCCCATTCGACCCTTCTAGGAGTCGCGTTGGACGCGTCTCCCGAATCTGGGTTCCTCGCCATCGTCAGGGCAGCGCTGATCCCGATTGATTGATTAGGCATACGAGCTATCGGTACTCACTGGCACGCAAGTCCTGCTACTCGTCGTGTCGGAGACTGGACTCGTCTACACCTTCACTACTCCCAAGTTGCAACCTCTGGTCACCAAGGCAGAGGGCAAGAATCTGATCCAGGTTTGTGAAGCCCCTCCTAGCGTCAATACGGGTTGCATTGAGATCGCTGACTGACTTCATGATGACAGGCTTGCTTGAACGCGCCCGAGCCGAACCCGGGTAACGAGAACGGCGTGGACGATTCGAACCAAGTCGAGTCACCCGAAGAGCCGCCCAACTCCCACCTACCCCCGCAGAGCAGCCGATCAGGCATGCCTCAGAACCCTCACATGCCTCCCAACTATATGGCCAACGTCCCGATGGACCCTCAACAGGCGCTGGCTTACCAGGGCTACGTGCAACGCGGCGCACCCCAATACATGCCTCAGTCCGGTATGCCGCAGCACACCTCACACCAATCGTGAGTGTCACCATTTCTGGTGACATTGCCTTGCTCCTGATACCCCCCAATAATGCATTCATGAGGTTTCTTTTTCACCACCCGAGGCATTCTTGATACCACCCTAGTTGCAAGGCTGCGGTGGTCCGGCGTTGTTGGGTCATCATCACTTCTTCTACACCCACTTGGACCCAAATTCTTTCATCCCATTTCCGACCATCTTTTTCATACTTTATAAAACTTGTTTACGGGAAGCGCTGCAGATGGTGCGCCACTTCCTTCGTCCGGCTGCACAGAACCCACCCTCGACTAATCTCTCGTCCCTTCTGGACGGGAGCGACGGTCGGTGGTGGTCTTTCTTGCCGGAATCTGTTCATAAGCACCATGCTCGCAAGTCTCCATCCGGGAAAGGTGTACGCGACGGTGGTCAACTCCCGGGAAGCAGACATGCACAATACCTGCGGACTGGTTCTACCATGCTGCACTATGCTGCCCAGCACGGCCATGTCGGTATGGCTGATCCGGCGTTGAGAACAGAGTCGTTATGGCCAACCAGGATACGCACATGCCTGACGCCGATGGCGGCGATCCTGACCAGGGAAAGTGCCATGTTCAGCCTCTCGTCTGCCTCCAGCACCATTCCAACCTCTCTGCCTGACCAGATCGTCAATGAGTTCTCTTCTCCATGAATGCAAGCGCCTAGGAGATCACCCACCCTTTTTGAGGCTAAAGAAACTGGATCATTCGCAAGACAGATGCCCGTGACTGGCCGTACACCGACCGCATCACTCAAGCGATAAGCTGGAATGTGAGAGGGTGCATGGACTTGGGTGGTTGGAATATACGTACGGTCTACTCCAACTCATGTCACCTTTTACAACTGACGACCAGGCTTCATCATCATTCCACGCGTTGCCGGGCACCGAATTTCACCCGTCGCCACCAAATTTCACGCACGCGTGGCCCTAGACCCCATGCACCATCGTCATCCACTAGATGCCCGACATCATGATCAATCTCATCTCATCGCATCTCTTCAGAAGTACCGAGGTACCTCGGCTACTACCGTACCGTATGGCGGACCAGGCATTCGTCTACCGCAAGACGCTGGTGTGAGGATTTTCGGTGCCTCATGCAAGAATATCTCGACGTCACATGTTCTCGAATTCATGATCGAGAGCCTAGCCGCAAGATGGGAAGTCCATCACATTCTCCATGATACCTAGCAACGAGTGGGAGACGGCGGCCACGACTACCTCGGCAGTACCCCCGAGCTATTCGACATGCCGGAATTTCTACCATCCCAGACACGACCTATGGGACACCGTATCGTCTCTACGTTGCTCTCTATCGAGGGGTGCAAGTGTTCGTCATGCGGTGGAATACTGGAATGAGCAGAGAGACCAGCTGGCATCGCAAAGCGCGGTCTGGGCTGTTAGTCCGAGCAGTTATGGGCCAGAGCTTTGTTTGATATCCTGCAATCACTGCGTGCTGCATTGCATTCGGGTACGTCGGCCATGGAGTTTTCGAGTCAGATCTAGTTGCGAGATCTCTATCACTGCTCAATCTGATAGCAGATCTCCGATCCATCGCGTCCGCATGGTGGTGGAGAGTGGGGAGGCCCTCGTCACCCAAAAATGATGATTGTATGATAGCACCGTATTCTCATAGATCACTACTGAGACTAGTGGTATCTGCCAATCAAGCCTTGCGTTACGACATTCTTGTCCCCTTAATACGTGATCTCATCTTGGCTATAGCCTGGGCTTCTCATCCCGTCTGGCATACCGTGTGGTTGTAGAAGTCCTCAGTCGTGGAATTGGTTGCAGCCCAGGCCAAAGTACCTAACGAGTATATGTCCTTGCACCTGCGGTCCGTCGCGTAAGCGTGGGATCTTGCCTTGTGCGAGGTGTCATGCCCATGCCATCGTCCGAGCCGGACGCACAACGGCGGCACGGTCTGCTGTTTCCACTTGTGACGCCCCTGGGGACGACAACCTAGCAGCCTGGTAATATGTGCGGTCCTCTTCCCCTTCTGTCTGTCGAACTAGTAGTATGTGCGTATATTCCACGTGTAGCCAAAGAAAGCGAGCGCCTGCTCCTGAATTCTGTTAGAGATGTGTCGAGGAGTAGAGGAGTAGTGGGTGCTTCAGGTCGAGGTTGAGGTTATGGTAATTGCATTTGATGTACTTAGGTACTTCATGTACCTGGATATGTCTTTATGGTAGGTATGTGCCTGCTGCAATCAAATGATGCGTGTTTGCTGCTGCCCGCGTCCCGAGGCTGTGGCACTTGCTTCCGCTTTTCCGCATACGGTACCCGTCTTGGGTTTAATCTGTGTCTAACTGCTTTTGGGGAGATGTAGATTTTAAGGGGGTATTCCTATGGGGGTATTTTGACGTGTTTCTTGGGTAGGTAGGTGTATTAAGGGTTGGGACTCGAGAGGGAGACTTGGGATGGGGTTTGGTTGTATGGGACTTCAATACTTGCTTGGCCTTTGGGGCTTGGCTTTTTGGACGTGCAGGTGCTTTTGTGTATCTGTTGCATGTCTAAGTATGCCTGGTAAGTAAGTATGTACTTGCTTAGATCTGATACTGGCTCGGCTGTTGCATAAGTCACTGCGGCTTTCCTCTCATTCTTAGAAATATCGACTACTTCGACAGATACTCAGCGGATGTTATTCACTGGAATGTGCCAGACGAACCTTGCTCCTCGATACCAGGTTAGCTTAGCCGTCCGAGCCCGCCGCCCTGGTGGTACCGATTGATGGTCCCGTTATAAGGGCTGGGGGGCAGGTGTCACGATACACGGACGCGGGGCGCGGCTGTCTACTATCGTGGGCGATAGGGGACCCGGGAGCGGGAGCGGGAGCGGGAGCGGGAGCGGGTAGTAAACGACCTGAAGGAAGGAGGTTCAACTCTTCTCATATGCCATGTTCGGGGCCTTGGACTCTGAGTGGTGTCGAGTCTACGGCTAAGCAGCTGGCTGGGTATTGGCCTTTTGATGTTGGGATGAGATCAGTATATGGTGGTTATCTTATCATGTGCTTCGTGAGGTGGTTTGCTGCTTCCCCGGTGAACCGGTCAAGATTGGGTGACATGGAGTCGTGACTTGGATAGGGGGCTATTCATTTCTTGTTGGCGCTTGGGTTGAAGCCCGGAGGCACAGTGCAGGCGCGTTCCGTTAAAGGGAAGGTGATGCCGTTGACCCGGTCTCTTTGGCACCATCCATTAAGGTGCCACGTAGCTAGGTGGAACGGTTTGGCTGAGAGCTAGCTCTGTCGCCACTGATGCTTGATACTCGAGTCAAGGGCATGCCTTCGCTGGTGTCCATTTCATGAACGGGGACTTGGTCCTGAATCAAAAGGGTACACGGACGCTTGACTGTTAAGGTAGGTCACGTTGCTGGTTCGTAGGCGGTTGGCGAGAACCTGCCACGTCTCCTAGACAGGGTGATCTTGCTCTCTCATCCAGTCTCTCTGCACCTTCCTTGAAGCGAGCTCTTGCATATCCTAGCAGGGCCCGGTTATACGCAGGTCAGGTGATACCAGGACGATTTGGAGGTCAGAATGGACAGTGATGAGAGGACAACAGCAGCCGAGTATACCACACATTGTGTATTCACGTCGACGCATCGCGAATTCTATGGAAGTTTGAAGCCGGCATCGAGTGCACTTGGAGTGGTTGCCATGGACGAGTTGTCTTGAATGTAGTAGGAAGAAACAGAACCTGCAAATTGGTAGCGGTGGTGTCCTTTGAGATGTCATGTGCCCCTTTTACGACATCATGGTACTTCGAAAGCTACGTCATTAGGTGATCTACCCCTATTATAACAAACAGTGTCCTGCTGTCTCCTTGTTGCAACCACAACCAATTGCCGCAGGCCCGTGCTGACCGAACATATCTCTGGAACTCGAACCGACATTCACTCATTAGGGACCCGTTATTGTCCAGGGTCGGAATTCTTCCACGACAAGCCAGCGACGCGTATCGCGGGTTTGATAGCTAGGGTTCGGTAACAAAATGACCGGGTCCTTGAGGCGTCACCGTATCATAATGTTTCTAAGCTGCTACCACAGAGTCCATTATAGTCGAGAGGCGTCCTAGCTAAGCACCACGAGCCAAGACTGAAAAGCTCAGGGGCTCTCACCCGTCCCGAAGGAGGTGTTCTGGCCCTCGGGACCATTCCAAATGACCCTATTGATGATAGCCCCTGAACCCTGGTCAACGACATATGTCATGACAGCACAGAGCTCTGGCTTCGCACTGGCAAGACATCCGGAATGCAAGCGGGTCAATACCTACGCCCGTATCGTAGCTTGAACGCGGCCGGCGTCGTCGCTGCATTGATATGCTTCCAAAGAGTTATACGATGACTGGACTCCTGGACTCGCAGCTTGACGACCCACCCGTAGGGACCAGCCCTGCTCCACTCTGTACCACAAGCAGAGTTCCGGTACTGTTTCTGACGGCCCTACTGAGTCAGTTTTGAGGAATTGCAATGACTGGCGATGGCGGCGACTTTGGTGATGGCGGAGCTCATAGCAGAAAAACCGTTCAGCAGAGGGCGAATAGGAGTGGCGGAGTCGATATGCAGCTGCGACACGTTACGTGCGAGGCAGCCGCGTTGCCTATCGAGGCAGTCGAAGAGCAGAGCCTTCTCCCGTCTCGTATGCTTGGGTTAATCTGCCCCATCAAAATTGAACCTTCCCACATGGAGCATTGCCTATCGTCACGGCATCCACTGTTCTACGAAATAGTCCTTTTCGTTTGACGCGGGTTCGTTCGTTTTGAGTCGCTCGAAAGGACGTGGACTTCCGAGCACCGCGCGGTCATGCAGCGAGTGAGGGGCTGATGTTACCATATTTGAGGCGAGAACCTCGAGAGACAGTGTCCACGCCGAAGCCGTCATGGATCCTCTCACCCTCGCCGTCAGCGTCGCTCGACTCGCCAGCCTTACAATCCAGCTTGTTGAATTGACGGCAAAGTACTCATTAGGAGTCAAGGATGCGCCCGGCGAAGTCGAGGCCCTGAAACTCCAGCTTGCCGCCCTCCAGAGCGCGCTGACGCAGCTCGATAACCTGTTGAAAGGCGTCGTCGACAAGGACATCCGCTTCTACGCGGATACGGGCCTTCGCGTGGCGCTTCGGCATTGTGAGAGACAGCTGAAGGGGCTGTGGGATAAGTATTCTAAAGAGAATAAGGGAGGGTCGGCCACCAACAAGAGAAGTAAAGGGAAGGATTTCGGGAAGCGATTGCTGTGGCCTTTTCGAAAAGAGGAAGTCGAAGGCACTTGCCAAAGCCTGTCCCAATGCGTGCAAGCGTTTCAGTTCTTCGTGGCCATTGACGATAGGTATGTCACAAGCTCCACCCTGGAATATAGACTGACGTGGTTCCTAGCAAGGTTCTAGTCCAGAATCATTCCGAGTTGCTGACAAATCTGAAACAACAGGAACTGGCCTTGGCTTCGGTCTCGAAGTTGACTGGCGGCCTATCGGGACAGCTGGGCGATACCTTGAGCCAGCTCAAGGACGTCCAGGGCGTACTCAAAGATGGCAGGGCAGAGATTGCTGCATCACTAAGCCAGCTGCAAGATGACAATAGAAGTCAGGAGATCCTTGCAAGTGATGAGTTCTTGTGGTTAACGTGGCTCTAGGTTCGAGACTGCGTGATATCATGCAATGGATTTCGTCCCACCAAGTATGAAAAGAAGCACGAGAGCGTCAGCTCATCTCGACTTGCGGGGACATGTGAGAAGAAGCTGAGATCGAGCGAGGTTGAAGCTTGGATTTCCGACAACGGTGTCGTCGGGCATCAGCTGCGCTGCTTAGGAGACCCAGGGGCTAGAAAGTCTGTGTTCTGGTAAGTTTTCAATTCGGCTTCGTCGTTCACGAACTCATATCAGTAGCTCTGCCGTGATAAACGAGCTGATAGGTCGATATTCGGCGGCTCATTATGTCGCGATCACTTACATCTATTTCGACCATCAATTACGGAATGAGCAAACGGTGCTGGAAGCTGTTCGGACTCTCCTAGCACAATTGTTAGGTTCCTCGAAGCGGATACCGTCGGAGCCGGAAAGGGCTTTCCAAAAGAAGGAAAGACGGCCAGATTTGGCAGAGACTTTGACTCTTCTGACTGACCTGATGGGGGACTTTCGAGCATCATATATATGTGTTGACGCCCTCGACGAATGCGCAGATGCTATTGCTTTTCTGAACGTCATCAAGCAGTTAACTACTGCCAGACTCTTCATCACGACCAGAAAGCCCACCAAACGCATTGTTAAGAAAGCACTTCCTGGGTCTATCCATATCGAGGTCGAGGCGGACGAGCAAGACGTCAGGGCACTGGTCAACTTTCGGCTCGTCGAGGATGCAGACCGCGAGCCAGGGCTCATGAATGACTCCCTAAAGTTGAAAATTGTTGATTAATTAGTCTCCCTGTCCCAAGGAATGTCAGTAATGCGCTACCCTATTTTTCGCCAGTGACTAATTCCTCATATAGCGTTAGGTTTTCTCTTGCCTGTTCTGCACATCGATAACGTCCTCGGCCATCGTACAATCAAGAAGCGTCGTGACGCGCTTGAACAGCTGTCAGGCACTATCGACGACGCCTACAAGACCACTATCCTGAGGATCCATGACCAGGGGTTTCAGAAGGCCGACCAAGCTCTTGAGATATTAGCATGGGTTCTCCTGGCTCAGCGCCCTTTGGCATTGACCGAGCTGCGCCACGCTATCTCGATAGAGATCGGAGCCGAGGATTTCAACAGTGAAGATCTCCCCTCGGAGAATATGTTAACGACGTGCCTGGGTCTCGTCGTGACTTACCAGAAAAGGTCGACCGTGGGGTTTATGCACTTCACGCTGCATGAGTACCTCGAGTCATCCGGTCAATCGCTTCTCGGGGTTGGCCATGAGATGCTGTCGCGAAAGTGCCTCACCTACATGCTGTACAAATCGGCATCCGTATCCTTATCGTCAGTGGCAGCACCAAGAATGAGCTTCGAAGAAGTCGAAATGCTCCGCCATTTAACGGGCATAGGCACTGCAGATGAGCATGGTTCCGAAAAGTACTTTACACTGCGTCTCGCCTACAGCAAGACGCACCACAACGCGTTTGAACTGGAGGTACTGCAAGAGATGCACGGGACATTTGTCCTACTGAAGTACGTAGGCCAATACTGGGGTGAGCACTTCCGAAATGCCGAGCATATGAGCACAGAGACCGAAGATCTGGCCCTGCGGTATCTTGCCTTGCTCTGGAACCCCTTGCAACCAAGTATCGTCGACGTTGGCATGCGAATGGTTAGCCCTCCCAAATATACAGGTCTTAGCCCGGATTTGACTGCGGCGCCTCATCTGCGGTGGTTGTGCGGACCGCAACCAAATGTCGTTCGAGCATGTAAAACGAACGGGCAACCCTACCTTTTATGTAGGGATCGACGCAAACGAAACTGCAATGGCTACTTCGGCATCGATCTTTAAGATCCTGGCGTTCTTCGGGGTATGCTCCCTATGGCGAAAGGCACGTCAGTGGCTACCGGACTTTGACCCGTACGCGCTAGACAATTCCCTTGCTGGCCTCCCCCCTATGATACTCTATGCAAGACACAGAGATGATTGACCTGATCTTCCGTGAAGCACCGGACGAGCAGGAGCTTCACGGGGGCAGGCTGCTCTGGACTAGATACCAGACGGGCCACGATGAGGTCGTCCGATGGCTGGTGCAGAATCCGCGGATAGACGTGAACTATAGACCGCGTTGCGGTATGGAGACACTGCTTGAACGTTTCTCCCAAGAAGAATTCAAGCAGGCGGTAGCCGAAATCCTCGCTTCATCCCCCCAACTGTCAACTCGTCTACTGTCAATAGGAGAAGATGGAGATCGTCGCAAGCGAGATAGGACGGAATCAAGTGGCAGGACTCAACAGTCAATCATTCCGTATTCGCCCAGGCGATCGACTCAGCAAGGCCAGCATTTGTAACGTCGCTAAGATGTCAACGCCCGGAGGTGTTTGGCTACTGCAACTCACCACCGGACCTTGGGTGGTGGTGGTGGTATACCTAGTCAGGTGTTGACCTCCGGCTGATTACATATCCGCTCAGAGAATGGAGCAAGGTGGTCGCACATTATCATGGTGGTGGACAAACCCCCTCGGTGGTGTTGAATTTAGGAAATGTAAAGAAAGCCCACCACCACCTGCCGACAAATGACAGGAGGTACTATCACGTGATTATCTTAGCGCGGGGTCTTTAGTTGGCCGCGGCCCACCTCTCCCACCAACCCGGCTTGGCTTACTGTAGCTTAGCGGTGACTTGGACCCAACCTTCACCTTGGCTTTCTCTGTCTCACTCCAATCATTGTGAGGGGTCCCAACTGAAGGGATGGAGCCTTTGAGGCCATTTGAGCAGGAAAACAAAGCATAACACATCCGCTGCTAATTTGGGAGTGTCTTTGTTAGAATTCCACCAGCCCACGGCCTGGAATTCCAGTCAATGTGTGCCTGACCATGATCTTGTTCAGTTGCTCACCCACAACCTGAGCAGAGTACCGGGTGCAAAGGGTAAAGGGTGGCACTCACTTGGTTGCTTGTTCGATGCTGTCAAAGAGGCACAACCATCTCATCTCCTCACTTTGCCATTCTCGATTACTTGTATCGCCGTCTCCTGCTTCCTCGACGCGACGGCCAGACGAATTAAATCAGTTGAGGTAGCTTATTGCAGCATTCCTTGAGACCGCAAGATCAACATACCACATGCCATCCATCTCTCGCCTTGCCTCGTTTCGCAAACCTACTCTTGTCTCACACGGCACAACATCCGAAGTCACACATTACAGCACCATCGACCCATCCGTTTCACGAAGCACCGCAAACTGCCTCTTGTCATAGCATTTATCACTGCAAGAGCCGACATTTCTGGCCTCCTCACAACCACCCACATAGCTGGACGACAAGTAAACTCACTACCATAGCCAAGTACGACTCTCTTTATACGCTTCCATCAAGCCACGCCGATTCCTTTCTCTCCCCGATTTCAACACAGCGACGGAACCATGGACATGAGCAACATGGACATGGGCGACAACTCGTCGTCGTCCATGACGAGTCAGATGATGGCCGTATTCCAAAACAAAATGGCGACGTCCCTGTACTCGAAATCCTGGACGCCGAGCACGAGCGGCGCCTACGCAGGCACCATCATCTTCCTCATCATCCTGGGAATCGCGCTGCGGCTCCTGCTGGCCGGCAAGTCGATCGCCGAGGCGCGGTGGCTCGACGCCGAGATGAACCGCCGCTACGTCGTGGTGCAGGGTAAGCTGCCGCTGGCCGAGACGCTGTCGCGCGACGACCAGTGCAAGCGCATGACGCTGAGCGAGAACGGCATCGAGGAGGAGGTCATGGTCGTGCAGAAGAGGACGGTCGATGCGCGGCGGCCGTGGCGGCTTTCCGTGGACCCCCTGCGCGCGACATTGGATACGCTGATTGCGGCCGTCAGCTACTTACTGTGAGTAACTATCTAGACATATACCAAGTCTACTTGCTCGCATAGTTAGTATTGGAGTCTAATGGGTATCGGCAGCATGTTGGCGGTCATGTCGATGAACATCGGCTATTTCCTGGCCGTCCTGGCCGGCACGTTCTTGGGCAGCTTGCTCGTTGGCAGGTATCACGGCACGCTTGAACACTGATCGAGAAGGGCGACGGCACCCATCCACTCTACCTACTTCACGACGATGGACCTTGGCGTTACAATGACTGCTGGGGTGGCGGAGGCCCGCCGAGACGAGATGTCGTCAACGGTACCGCCGCGACTCATGATATATGAAATACTTTGAAGGCTCTGGAGTCCAGCCGCACGAGCGATGGACTCGTTTACACGCTATTGGAACACAGCCTGTCGAGTTGCGCTCATAGACGTTGGTATATAAGTATGATTGAGTTGTCGTTTGTCCAGGGCATCATAGCGAGGAGCGAACAGGATTGAAGTATAGGAAGCCAGCACATGGTTGCACGGGCATATGTTGGAGAAGCACGTATATATCCTTCTATTCAAGGTGCACTGCACTGCATACAATACCTCCACTCATCATTCCTCGGTGTGTTCGATTCTTCTTGAAGCCATCTCTAGTCACTCCCAGCCCTCACATGCCTTGAAGCAGGAGTCTACCCAGCCGGAGTTGCGGTCAAGTACCTCCTCCAGCTGCTCCTCCTCCAAGCCGGTCAGGGTTCGCTAGCGGCAGGCCAAACCTTCTCAAATCTGCTCACCTCCACACGCACTTGCCAATCGCAAGCTGATGGGGGGCTAGCCATCTCGGTCCGTAGAGGGGTCGTCCATCCATCATCCATGAATCCATCTCATCCCCCACTGTTTGCCGCGGTCCCCGCGCTTGACCCCTTTCGTGATTCAGATCCTGGCCAGATCTCAGGTCGGCTTCGGACCCAGATCCTTGGGTCGGCGGCTGCCAGGTTCTCCACGTCCTCCCGTGCCCCTGATGTGTGAGAATAGGGGCACCTTGTTCTGGTCATACATATGCAACTGGTCTTCGTTGTACTTCTCGTTCATTTCGAGGCCTCAGCGACTACGCCAAAGACAAGAACGCGTGAGCGTGGCTTGTGCCAAGGGTGGGAAGCAACCCAACCGCAGACAAGAGCAAAGGGAGTGAATGATACCGTCTTTTCCAGGCAATCTCGCTACACTCCCCGGCCATAAGTCTCCGAGCATCCCTGTTTTACACCAAAACACCCCAGCTTTACGCGATCGTGATAAATCGAGTAAAATAGATACAACTTAAGTACTTATAGTACATATAGTTAAATTTACTGGAATATTAAAATGATTTATTTAAAAACTTTGACATCTTAAAGATAAAGGTCGTAAATATTACTTTATTAAAGGTTAAATTTTCGATAAAAATAACTTTCTAACATATCTATTTCTTTAAAAATCTATCACATAAGGTTTTTCGTCTTATACGTGTATTACATGCCATTTAATATTATATAACTTTATTACGACTTATATGATTTTTAAACATTTCTTATAGCTTTATTAAGATTTAAGATTTAAAATTTAAGATTTTAAACTTTACTTTTATATATCTATTTCTTAATATTTTAGTCGCTAAGAAAATAAATATTTAGAAATTAGTTACGAAAACTTCAGCATTTCTAAATATTAGTTTTTTATAATATCTCATTTTAAAAAGCTTTAAGTCTTTAGTTATAAAAGCGTAAAGGTAGGGCATTTTGGTGTAAATGCGGGGATGCTCGGAGACTTATGGCGGGTCAGTGTAGCTCCCACATGAATCACCAGCTCGCCAAGCCAGACTTTTACACCAAATTCTTTATCTTCTGATAAGGAAAGGCGCATGAAGACAGGTTCCCCCGGATTCTGGAACGAATGAGAGTAGAGAGTCTGAGCAGGTGGTCCTTGTGGGAGCTAGCGAAATTGCCTGGAAAAGGCGGTACTTAGCGCACAAAGGCTCGGGCCAACCAAGCGATCAATCGCGTCAACGACGCGTTCTGAATCCCGTCTGCCTGCCCCGTTTCAACATCGTGAAACTTCAGTTGTCAGAGCTTCTGCACACGCAAGCACTGCAGCGCCAACATGGCTCACAAGAACTCGACGAAGCGACAGTGACTGGGCGGCAAGAAGCAACAAGACCCCGCCAACTCATCCGCAAGCCATTCCGTACAGCAGTCACCGCTTCTGAGATTGCCTCGTGAGATCCGCGATGAGATCTACTACTTCGCCCTTTGTACACAGGGCTCAGCACAGTTGGTCCACCCTAGAGGACGAAATTTGAAAGAGGCGCTGACGTCTGGATACTTCGCAATCAAGCCTGAGCCGCGCTATCCACCACGGCCGCCATCGCGTACGAAATACAACGAAGGCTTGAGCAGAGATGGCCCCACTCGCAAAGCAACTGACAGCAATGCTTTGACTGCTCAAGCTGTGGAACGCGGCTTAGATGATAAGCAAAAGCATCCTAAAGAACTCCCCGGCTTCACCGAGGAAGAATACAACACTGCATTTGCGCAGTTCCAAAAGTCGCCATACTACCGAACCGCAAGCGAGAGCTGTGAATACGATGTCTTCAAAGACGCTGACCTGCACTCCGACGATGGTTACGACTCAGATGAAGGCGACGAAGACGGCGACGAAGATTCACCACGGTACGAGCTAGAAGCATTCTGTCCCATCAACCTCGCTCTGCTCTTCACCAACGAGCAGATCTATGCGGAAGCAATGCCTATATTCTACAGCGGCGTGACCTTCATTGTCGACGTTGAAGGCAAAGCGGCATTACGCTTCTTCCGATCCTTGCCCGCTCCAGCACGAGAAAGTATCACCACGCTAGCCTTCAATAGTGGCGCTCTCTTCGCAGATGACTACCATCGCTAGGCATCGTCAGGCTATTCGACGGAACCAAAGCTCACTAAGCCGGCACCGATGACAACACCTTTTGGCGCCTTCCTCGCTACCAAAGTGCCGAAGCTGAAGCACGTATACTTATATGTCCCAACCGGTGGAGAGAAGACCTACTGCACCTGGGGGCCTACGGAGCTCGAGACATTGGTAGCGTACAAATGCATCGAGCGGCTGTCTTATGTGTTTCTGGGCTCGGAAGCGGCCAGGGCTCTACGCAGATGCAAAGACAGCGATGACTGCTTCAGCCGGCTTTTTGGCTTACTAACTGACGAGGCCATTGAGAATCATCTCTTCAACCTTGCATACCCCGACGGCGCCATGGACGAGTATTACGGTGGTGACGTCCGGTATTACGGTGATGACCTCCGCACCGCCGTGAGGTTGCGCAGGAGAGTGGGAGAAATGTGGGCCATTAAAAATGCTGTGCCGATCGAGTGGAAATGGGCTGACCGCAACATTGATATGGGGTCCGCTGGGTTCGTACAGGCTGTATGCGAGCTGAAGCTCAAAAGGGACATCACGACGGAGGAGACTCACCTGAGTATGGAAAGTGTCCGCAATGAGAAAGGCATACGCAGGGTCTTTGCGGAGTTTGGGCGACGGTACGCTAGCCTATTTGTGAAACGGTGGGATCACAGGAGACCAATGTCCATTCTCTCAGCTCTGAGCAGTCCTTGTGGCAGCATTTTCTATCTTCTGAGTGTCCTACTTTCTCGTCTTCTGCACTCTTAGCTTGCGTTACTCTCCTAGGCAGAGACGATGGAGTCTACCGGTGAGACTACGGAGCCAGTCGCGCGAGCCACCATCGCAACGGCCAAGCAATCCTTCCACGACCTCTTCGTCTGGAAACAGCGAGTCGAGATCAGGAACGAGTATGGCGAAGTTCGCACAGGGTGGCATAAACCACTGCCGCTGCGCAATCCCATCTCACTCCTCGCTCAGCTCCCGCCATCCGGCTGGCTGTGTTTTATTGTCGGCGTCGCAGCATGGACAGCAGACGCATTCGACTTCTTACGCTCTCAGTATCCAAACCCGTGAAGCTTTCACATTACTACGACATCAGCACACAAGACCTAAGTCAGCACCGCCATCACCTTGACCCTACTCCTCCGTTCTGTCGGAGCGGCTTCCTTCGATCTAGCTAGAGACAAATGAGGCCGCAAGTGGCCAATGGTGGTCAACATGCTGATACTTGGCTTGCTGCAAATCGGGGGATGGTAATCATTGCTGCCCTCCTCTATCGAGGCAGACGGAATTGCCAGGGCGCTGGAAGACACATAGTAACCTCAGTCGAACGGTAAATGCCATGGACCACTTGGTACATCGGTGGAGTGGGGGTAGCTGTCGGCTAACTGGATGCTACTTGGTCTGGTCTTTTCACTTGATGCTCTATCAACAATAACATATTGTTGTAGATGAGCGATTGAGGGTGTCCATGACAGTCTTGAACTCATATCGCGCTCATTCAGAAACTCAAGAGGCGGGTTGGATTGAGTCAAAGGAGGGCCAGACCCATCCGTGGTCAGGCATGTCTGCAATACTGGCTGTCTCTCATACCCAGCCAGGGCACTTGTCCGGATAATAATCCACTGCGTTAGATAGGTGCTCGCGCACCGTTGATTTTCCGCTCACGAGTACTGTGGCTCTCGGGTCTATGATTTGACGATGATGATTGCTATGCTTGCTGATCAGCCCGGTATGACGTTACTGGGAGATGTGGGAGACCCCTCATGCGGGAGACCTTCTTCCCGTACATACCTCTGGAATATGTATGCCCCCGAATCCACACGGCATCGGAGCGGTTGACCTGGGTTACCTTTTTCCTTGACTTCAGGTTAGTCTGTCGATATCAAGACTACCTAGATACTAAGACTCTGGCTGCTATGCGAGCAGCGTTGAGTCAAATAACTTGGCGCAGAGCAGCCGATTCCTAGGGTAAGATAGGTATTCTGACGCAACTGGTCCCTGAACCAGGGGCTGGCGAGGATGAACAGGGACTATCAATTGATATGGCTAGGGCACCTATACAAAGGGGTTCTCGATCATACTTGAAACCATGAACTGTTGACTCTCCAGTCTAGCCAAGCTTGGAACCATGACAAATGCCTTTGGTCATCTTCTCAGCTGCATCAGCTAGATGCTTGTCTTGAGAGCTTTTCAATTGCGTTTGAGAGATAGATGTTGCTTGCGATGGCATAGTAAGACGCACTTCTTACTAATTGCCCATAGATAAGGGAAACATGCCTTGCCACTTTGCTATATGGGACAGCCTTGGCTCGCTTCATTCCAGATGAAGAGTATCCTTTATCGGAATATCCGGACTTCCTGTGCATAAGCCGATGGCACGGTACGACCTCCCAGGACACGAGGCTCAGCGGATTCTCGCACTAGCACATGCCCTTGACTCCTCGAAGAAGAACTCACTGTGTCCTATACTCCTGGCAGGCGCAGACTTCCCCGTTGACTGAGCCCTGCGATACCAGTAGTTCAGAAACCTGCCTCGAGCCAAAATCCTGGCAACGATACAGTACTCAGTCTCATCTACGCTCGCCTAGACCATATAACTCAACCCCTTGACGGGAGCCTGGGTTTCACCTGACGACTAAATGCGTCTGGCGATATCACCGCGCCCCTCATGGACGGGGAGGAGTCCCGGTCTGCAGGCATTCATCGACGGCCTGGTTACGGTTGACATGCCAACCTTCTCACCCAGCCTACCAGAGGTTGGAAGCTCAGACCATGCAGCTCGCACACGCGCGTAGAAGCTCAAAGACAGAGAAGAGCATACAACCTCCATGAACACCCAACTGGCAGGATATGAGCTGGTCCGACGGTCCATGCCCAACACTCTTCTACCCTGTCACACACACAGCGATCGCGATGGCGAGATATGTCGCTTCCTCTGCACTGAGTCCTCCGGCATCAGGCTCCTCGCCAGTACGAGGCCTCCATATACGAGTCACGAGTGTGCGTCGGAAATGATCTCCTCTGATATCCAGTATAGTGCGAGCCCGGCTTTCACCATCAGGCGGGTAGCAAATGCTGAAGTGTGAGGCCCTGGTTCGAGCGAGCCTCGCGGTATTAGGTACGTTTGAAAAACCCCCATTGTGTTGTTTTTGATCATCATAACTTGTTTGCATGGCCTGCGACCATCTAGCACGGGCTAGGTCTATCTACCGAGGACACCGCGTGGCGGACAACAAAAGCACTGCCTTCCTATGAGTTTTATACTCCTGCCAGGCTCCTCTGTAACCGCGCTGCGGGTCGCTGAGATATCAGCTCGCCAAGGTGACCGTGTGACCAGCCGAGCGCAGCATGGTCGGCTCCTCATCAACGGAAACCGTCGAACCAGAGAGAACAGGAGACGGTGACCATGGATTCATCTTGCTCACCGCGTACCAAGTCATCGGTGCCCCTTAAACCCTGCGGCGCCCTACCGCTTGAAGTTCGTGGTGGGTGCCGCATACTCGCCAGCCACCGTGCACACATCGAAGACCGCTACAACATACCTAAGTCATCTCTCGTTCCGAGTAGCGCACGAAACTATCTCATCCTTGGGATATCTCCGCCCGCCAATGCTGCCGCTCTTGTCTGCGGTCCCCATGTCTCTTGGCGAGCTTGTGTCAAGAAAGAAATTGTAGCTGTCTGCAGAGTGACGGGCAGGGAAGATACTAGTATCAAAGCTTCTATACGAAAGACTGATCAGTAGTCGAACGATGTGTAGCAGAGGATATGGCATTTTGGATAGAGGATGGCCTTACGAACCTGGCACCGTTCGATCGACAAGGGAGAGAGCCCTCTCCGGCAAAACTCCGAAAAAGTCAAGGCCTGGCTCCGTGACTAAGTCTCTGCCAGCGGGTTCCCTTCCGCCTTGTTGTCATCACAGGTGCGCGGCAAGGCGGAAGGGAGCCGAGACCACTCACGCTGCCCCCGAGTCCTTGATGTGAGGTCAGATGTTGAGGTGGAAGGAGGATCTGACGTACTGTAGAGCGATGACACGGTCTCACTCAGCCAACGACCTTGACCTATTTTAAGGATACGCGAGTGTCCTGCAGGTAAGAGGCTTGTGCTGTCCTGACTTCAGCCGGAAAGGGGGCTGTGCTGCTGGGAAGCAGTCTGACTTCCATCAAACTATCACTGATTGATATGTCCTGAGTCATATGTGTAAGCTTCAGTATGATTTCTCAGTATCAACCGCACCGGCTGGCTCGGCTGCGTCGCCTGGTGCCTGATTCTCAACGTCCTTGAATGCGACGTGGCCTTCCGGACCCTTGGTTGCTGCTCACTGATGGAGATACTGAGTAAGTAAAGCGCGGCGCGCGACGCGGCGATCTGATAGATGTAATCATGTGCCCGATATAACACCCAAGTCGGAACTTTAGAGGCGAGCCATGAGAATTGCCGTTCCTGCATAGACACATGCCACCACGTGTTGCACGCCACACTGCATGTTTCCTCCAGCCTGCCTCCGTAGATGAGGCTTAGCGAAGGGGTGCATGACGACGGAACATGGGTAGCTCTGTCTCTGTCTCTAAGTCACGAAGACCTGATGCCAAGCGCTCCTTCACGTAAGTATGAACCGGCTGCAAGGGGTAACACAAGTCTGAGGTTAGCGACCCCCTGCATCGGGGGTAGGGAGCCATTCACCCCTTCTCGGTCGGCGATAGCTAGGGATACTGAGATCAAGACCGAAGGATGCAAACCTTGCCGCTGCTGCGAAGAACGACCGGCGAGTCCGAATCGTGCATGTTTGTTCGAGTGATTACTATGCTGAGTTTGTTCCGCACCTTCGAGGCTATGATGACGATACCAGGTGTTTGCTAGAGGCATTGTCGACATCCCGCCCTCTATCCCTGGTTCAGTCTACCCAGATCCTTCGACTAAGCCCTATGATGAGGAACCCGTAGGATCCAAAGTACCGCAGATCGTGGCTTCCCTCGTGGAAGATAAGTGGGCGTCCTATCATGCAGTTTTGGGTGATGTCTGTGGTTGAGATCGACGCAAGGATGTTGATCTCTATTCTGGAGGTTAAATGAAGCGTCCGGTGACGAGCGCGGAATCCTGCCGAGATGTCAGTCCTCCTGTGCCGCATGGAATGACACCACAAGCAGACTGCCGCCGCCGTCTACCACACCGTTGGTGTCACTCGTATACCTTTGGTAGCATTGAGACGGTAGGATCTCGTTCAGCTGACCTGCGGCCCGGGATGATGACGTTGAAACATCGATGGATATCAGCAGCAGTATCAGCAACAACGACGATGATCCTTCAGCTTACTTGGTGTGTCATAACATCGCAAGACGCGGTTCCTGCAGCCAACGGGCTGCTTTCTCAGCTGCGCAGACACGGAGCTGCAAGTAAACAACGACGTCGATCCCTTCCCTAGGGACAACTTCCAAGGCTGAGGGAGTCTGTTTCTCGATAACCTCATCTTGGCCTGCAGCATGCAGTTGGTGGGGACAGGTAGCATTCGATCCTCCGCGGGTGTCACGTCATTCTGTCTGATCCTGCACAGCTCACGGTTTGTTGGAGATCGACGACACCGAACATAGAGTACAGAACACAAGGCGAATTTGTGGACCGGCTGAGGTGGAGTCTCAGATCTCTCATCTGCGACTTTTCTCGGAAGCTTGCCGAAGCCATAAGCAGCCAAACCGTTCGGACGACGGGATGGACAGCGGCAGGGCGGGCTTCTCAGCGTTGAGGCTCACATGTGTCTCCGCAAGTCATGCTGTGCGCCATTCGGCTTGACCCAGGGCCATGGGAAGCGATTGAGGCTGTCTGAGCAGTGAGAACAGAAGCGCTGAAGAATTGGAAGCGCACGCCCTGCTCATTTGTCGATAAACGCAAACGCTATTGAATCGATGTGCGACTTGTTGCATTCAAATCTCCGTGACGCGTGTTCGCTAGTAGCGGGATACCCGGCTGTCAGCTAGAAAGGTGATAGCCTTTCTGCACCCGAAGAACAGCTCGGTCACAGTGTGCTGGTAGGTAACATGCATTTTGTTTCCAAACAAGGGTAAGACCGGAGGCCTGAG